AAAAAGGAGGAGGTTCTCAATTCGAGTGTATGAGTTTCAAAATATAATATGCAAAGTCATACTCACTTTCCCCAGCGCCTGTCACTGTGTGTACGATGAGCACCACGACACACAGGCACCGATGCCCCTCCACCGACATTGCTGAGTTAACCTGCAACAAAACAAACACCATCATCGTCAGGTCATCTAGTCTGTAAGGAGCACGATCCTTGATAATTTACCAGAGGCGTTCGATTCCCATTGACAATTAAATTTTCAGTTGTAAGTCTCAAGTATTGTTCCCGCCGGGTCTTCTATAAAAGGGCGATGGAGCGGGCTATGCTTGGAGTTTTCCTGCTTGATCGAATCAGAAATTAGGAGATCCGCAGGAGAACCAAAGTGACTGACATAGCTCGCAGAATTGCCAAAATCAAGTGGCAGTGGGCAAGGCACATAGCTCGTAGAGACGATGGCCGTTGGGGCAGAAAAGTTCTCGAGTGGCAACCACGGGACGGAAGACTTAGCGTGGGCAGGCCTCCTACTAGGTGGATCGACGATCTGGTGAAGGCCGCGGGAAGAACCTGGATGTGGGCGGCGTAGGACCGGTCGTTATGGAAGGCCTTGGGGAGGCCTTTGACCAGCAGTGGACGTCATTTGGCTAAAATGAATGAACGAACGAATTGTTCCCGACTAGTTACTTCAAAAGATGCTTATGCTTTTTTCCAGTGTAAAACATCTCCGCTCTTAATTACACAAAAATGTAAACCAATCAGTCGCTTCTCGTGTTATTCGCATGATTTCATTAGCCAAAAATTTAATAACTCACTCAAGTTGCCCGAAAACATGCAGGGTTTCGGTTTTCAATCTGTATTTCGGGGAATCACAAAAATGATTCACACAATTTGCGGTCAGATCAATATGTCAGAGAGTGCGCGAATTGCGTTCGCAAATGATGAATGGATGCAATCACGCGCTGAAATATATCCAGATTTATACACTGTTATAAATCCATTGTCATGTGGCTGATGAATTAAAAAATGCGGTCAATGGTTGAAGTTAAATACTCTTATCGACTGATTTAAACAAATGAATAACTATTGATTTAAACAAAAATGAAGTCTACACACTAAACGCCGATATGAGTAGTCGACTTTGTTGTCAAAAGTCATAGAATAATAATAATAAATATCCTTGGACATTTTACACAGCGCCGCTAGCCCCAAACTAAGCAAAGCTTGTACTATGAGTACTAGACAGCTATGGTACTAGAATGTACAAGTTTTCGACATGATTCTTTTGAAATAAAGCCGCCGACTCCAAGCTGCCGGGCTGTCGCTGGGCTTGGTGTGTAGAGTTCTTTTAGGTGCGTAATAAAGAACGAAGCAAAAAATAATCTCAATTCAATTTCAAGTATTGATTGAGGCTTTTAATTGGATGAACTTCAATAACTAGACAAATCACAGGATAGATTCTGTGACTAAGAGTATCGTTCGTTTGTTCGTTTCAGTTGAATGACGTCCACTGCTGGACAAAGGCCTCCCCCAGGAATTCCACAAAGACCGGTCCTGCGCCGCCCGCATCCAGGTTCTTACTAAGGCTGGTGCTGCTGCTGGTGGTAATCACGCTGACACACGCTGACCGTCAGCGCTGACATCCGAATTGTATGAAGCGTCGGCGCCGAGCGATCAGCGTCACTCAGGAACGTTCCCTTTAATTAGGTAGGTCAGCGCGATTCTAAAACCAGCCTAAGATTATGTTGTTATGATGTATGTTGGCTTCAGAATAAGTAAATCAGTGAATGAAAAAAGATGTTGAGTAGTGTAGGGCCTTTAATAAATAGGAAAAGGTAGCCAACATTGAACAAAAGTATTGTTTTGTTTTAACAGTCAGAGGTCCCTTTGTAGATAGGGATTCCAGGGGAAGCTTTCTTACACCTTCGGTTGGAAAATAACTTTCCATTATAATATGAAAGCCTAGAGCTTTCTCGCTGTGATGAAAACAAATTATTTCATTATACTACCCACATTCTAAGGTCAATAAGTCAAAAGTATCTAATAATAACCATTTGTTAGTCTTGAACAAACTTGGATATAAATCGTCTAGAAATACGTTTCGAAAAGAAATGTTCTTGCGTAAATATTTATCGAACGCGTAGGCGACTCTGACGAAAGAATGAATGAACGAATGAACTAACAATCGAATGGATATGTCAGCAGTGAACGTATTTTGTGAACGATTGATGAATGGCGCAATCAGACCGTTGTTATAAATCTAGATTTATTTGTACCTAGATCTAACAATGGTAGGCAATTTTTCAACTGCCTCTCTAGTGAAAAATGTGAATTTTTCATAAGTGTACGTTAGATTAAAGTCTAAATTCACGAGTATTGTTGTGTGGCAGGCCAAAGCCGAATGACGTCCACTGCTGGACAAAGGCCTCCCCCAAGGATTTCCATAAAGACCGGTCCTGCGCCGCTCGCATACAGGCACCTCCCGAGACCTTCACCAGATCGTCGGACCACCTAGTAGGAGGCCTGCCCACGCTATTTGGTGCATCAATAACAGGTATAAACATTGACAGATATTGGTGAATTGCACACAATTGATTAACTCATTTTCTAAAGCTCGTTTGAATGGAAGCTATCGAATACTAGCTATTGTTTACATTCGGCCCAGTCCGACAGTCCAAATATCAAACAATACTATCAAATTCAGGCCGAAATCCAATGTGGGCTTTCAATTGATCTACAGACCTAGATTTAGTGACAATTGTACTGTTTAGGAATGAAATTTTGGATTAATTCTGAACAAAATCTATCCACAGCGACATCCCGTTTTTTGCAGGAACTGTTTCTTAGTAGTTTTTCCCGTTTAGTAGTATACGTGTTTTAATACAATACTACGAGTACTTCACACGATCATCCCGTTTGTAGTGTCCCGCAAAAAACCGTTCTGTTCGAATTTGGTATTGGAATTTCAAACACGCATGAGTGTTTACACGACAGTCCTGTTTTCCTCCATTACTGTATTCCTCAAATCTAGATTGCTATTGNCAAATTTCAGGTTTGATTTACATATTTTAATAAATTAATAACCAATATAATGCACTTGAAGGTGAAAGAGCAGTCGTTAGCCAAACAGTCATTCACTAGGGACGGCACATCAGAGACATTTAATATTTCACTTATTATATTGACAATAATTTACACTTTGTGTCATTAATTGATGTATTTACGACATTATCACAAGTAGGTATTTACAAGTAACTTAATTTTGCCAAAATACTTATCACAAGTTTTTTTTGCGAAACAAGTTTAAAATCTTACGTAAGTCCTGAAACACGCTGTATGTGTACAGTACATCGTGTTTCAGGAAATGTTACAATATTTGGAACTATCTGATGATTTTTTTAGTATATTCAATTCAACCAATCAAAGTGATCTGTCACTTTGATTAAACCACCATGATTTATTATGATTCCTAATTGGATAAATTGGGAATTATAATAATTATTCCCATAAATATGTTCCAGCTTCCTGTGTAATATATATTTTTAAGTAATTTTTGATTAAAAATATACCCCATCATAAAATATCTGCTGTCTGCAGTTTGACCTTTGTATTTGTTTTGTCTAATACGATTCAGACTTATATCTACAACTACAATCGCTTGGTTCTAATATCTAACTTTGTTGGGTTGAGTTTTTCGGCTGACAAGCGGGGTGAAGGGCTCCAAATAACAACACCGCGTTGATGCAAAAATGGGGCACTTTTATTTCAAAGTACGGGGCAGATTCAAAAATGAGGTGCGGGCGTCTCCCGTCCGTCGACCAATTCCCGCAAGGACGTTGGACACAGACGCGGGAGAACCGCTGGCAATTTGTAATTAGGCGTTCGGAAGTCCCAATCTGTGATTCCCCGAAAGAACGTCACAGTCGGATGCAACCTTGGCTTATTACTTACGCCTCACAAAAGTTACAATATTCAACAAAATCGTCGGAAGGTCTTTATGGGAAAAAAAATCTGGACACCGCGGTGTAGAAATCGACTCTCAATGTGCTAGTGTCATCTAGCGGCGAGCGGCGCAAACATTTCCTAGACTGAATACATCTTGCAATAAGCACGGTGATCCGCGGTGGCTTGGTAATGCAGGCGAACACCACGAGATGGCGCTAGTAGATATTGATTGATAAATGTGACGTTGTTACAACTTATCAATTAAGTACACTTGATAACATACAAACATTTTTTTATTTAAGTTTATCAAGAGAAAAAATATTTTCCTGAAACGTCTGTTGCTGCCACAACAGTAAGTTTAATAACTTAATTTTCCAAATAAGACGGTGGTGTACCATTTTAGTCTTTTGTTTTGGAATACAATAATCATCATCATCATCTCAGCCATAGGACGTCCACTGCTGAACATAGGCCTCATACGTTATAATAATATTTTTTTATTATACATACTATATTCTGAGGGAACTGTCGACAGTATATCAGAATCTATATTTTTATTGCTAAAAATGCTACAGTGTATAGCTGCTGCTACATCGATGTTCCCTGGCACAGGCTTGTTGCTTAAAAGGGGGCATCGATCATTACTAATTATATGTATAGAAACCTTTGTTAGTGAAAATAAAGATTATATTGTTATTATTCATTATAAACCGTCGCTATATATTCGTGTCAGTGTTCAAATATGGCTGTTTTGTAAAATAATTTTATTTTCAAATTCTTGCCGGGCGACTGCTCTTCCATCTGAGCTACTTAGACACTGGATGAACCCGTCGAAGTTTTCAATTGTAATACGCTGATAATTTATTTTATTTTATTGTTATGATGCGCTAACGTGGAGTCAACTTGAACGCATGAACGTAGGTCAGGGTCAAAGTCCCGAACTCATTGTTAAACGCGGAGTTCACTACCCAAACGCGACGTGGTTTTCATTTGTTTAAGCGGACTTTACAAGTTAAACATATATAGCAGTTGGTAGAGCAGGTAATAATGTAGTATTGTGGTATTAGTCAATGTACTACATTGTGTACTACGAGTACAGGTTCAGTGTTATTGTTATTGATCAAATTATATTCTACTGGTAAAGAATTTATTATGAAAACGTTTCTTAGTTCAAAATAAATATCAAGAGAACAAGAACTTAAAAACTAGTACTTAAAGTCCAAAATTAAAAAAGAGATGAAGAAACATACCCAACAGAATTGAGAACCTCCTCCTTTTTGAAGTCGGTTAAAAAGTTTCATGCTGTGACATAACTGATATAATAAAGTTTTTTTTTAGGTTTTAGCATACAAATTAAAAATGGCAAATGATTCAAAAGGAGTGAATGCAGATCTCATAAAAGAGAGGAAGAAGTGCAACTTCGATGTGCAGGAGCTTATACACTTCATCGATGGCGGCGAGCAAGGCACGAAGGACAGGAGAGAAGTAGGTATGTATATGCTTAAAATTACTGTTTATATTTAAAAAAATAAGTTTTTTTTATGGCAACCAATTCTAAGGAGAGCCGTAAAACACCATATTAAAAAAAGGTTTAACCACAAAAAAATAAACCACTTTATTTTTGCCAGTGTCAATATTCCTGTGTCTTAGGTTTTAATAATAGGATTTGAAAGAACACCACTAGATAAAATTCTATATTAAATATTGTGTAAGTCGATTGATACCTCTAAAATGTTCAGTCATACCTCTTTCTAAGGTTAATTTTTCAATGTCGAGTAAACTTAATTATTAATATTTTTGCTATTATGATCTGAAAGAACACCTACAAGAAATGTCAAATATTGTGCAAGTTGATGCTTCTACATGGTTAGACGGTTCACACTACCTGCTACCAATGTTTAGGAAACCGAAGGATGTTTCCAAACACCTCACCGGTTAGTTAGTCATGCTTATATCCGATATCTATGCAATAATAATTTAATAATTATAGTAAATATTATATAGCGTGACCAGGAACATAAAAACCCTCGCCATGTTGCGGAAAACTAATGGTACTAATTTCTTTTAATGGCAACAGTAACTGAAAACTTCATTGTCATGTCACCTTGCATGTCAGTCTATTGCTGTCAAAGTGTAAACCAACTTTATTTTAAACTAGCGGCCGCCCGCGACTTCGTGCGCGTGGATCTCGTTTTACCCCCCCTTCATCTATCTTACGCGGTTCAGATTTTTTCATACAAATGTTTTTTCCCGCTAACTCCCGTTCCCGTGGGAATTTTGCAATATCCTGTTGTAACTAAGCTTTAAGTTTACTAAGGTACCTGCATGCCAAATTTCAAGNACATAAGAATAAACTTGCTGTTCCATCATTTAGGTTGCATAAGATAGGTAATTCATCATTGGGGAACTGTACTACCATATTTAACAAAATACCAAACGACCTTGTCGAATTGCCAATAAACAAATTTAAGATACATATAAAAAATACCCTTATGTCCAAAGAGTACTACAAGGTTCGAGACTATAGTGATATTGATGACAAGGATGCGTGGTCAGTTCAGTCTGCATATATTTTTGATGTACTTAAATTTGGCTATTCTTACCGTTAGATAATTCCTGGCAATAAGTGGTGACTGAGTTTGTTCCGGCGTTTCTTCTCAGCACTTGCCATATGTTTGTCTCGAAGCGCTGGTAGGGCCCAAAAGATAAGGAGACATGTAAATTGCCCCATAAGGGCTACCTTTTCTTTTTTTTATATTTACTGAATAAATATTTTTGATTTTGATTTTGAGAGTTTTTTCCATGGACTCCACGTTTTTATTTTATTTATATCATTGGCAGGCTACTTGGTATCAGTGGCGGGGCAAGACCTAAATTTGATGTGGGCAAGACAGATTTCGCGAGGCCTTGTTCTGTGGCGACCTGAAGACGGATTTTATGAAATAATAAAAAAAACGGGTCAATGGTCTATTCATTGACAGTTTCTGATTTCTTGATTCAGTGATTATTTTTAAAGGAATTTTGCGCCAAAGAATAATGTTTGTCACTTAAAACCGTGTTGTTGCTTAATTTTGTGTCTGATTATGGCTGAATTTGTTTGGAAAAAAATTTTTTTATCTACATTGTTTAGCTATCAATAATTTATATTTAATAGTCAATGTTTCAAAATTTTTGATGAGCGAGGCCCCTTGTTCCGCGAGGCCGTAGGCGGTGGCCCACGTCGCCTACGCCTTACGCCGCCACTGCTTGGTATGTATCTGTTTGTGCTGTATCTAATACTTTCGTTTATAATTTCCTCTACACTGTGAGAACGTCCTCACCGTAACAGCTATGCTCGTTGACCGCGCCTTACAACGTAGCGTTCCAATTCGCGCGATAGTTGAGAATTCTATGCAAACTTGCGTTCCATTTTTCGCTGAGCATGTAACATTTTCTCAACTCGCTCTCTGATTATTTGAAAAGGGAGTCAGAAGCGTTTTGCAAGTCGAAAATTTTCTCCAACAAGTTTTTATTGAAAGTTGTTAAGGAGCAATACTTTGAAACAAACGCTGAAGATAAATATCCAGTCAAAGGTTTATGACGATCAGCAAAACGGAAGCGGTAATCTCAATAATGGATCTCGGAGTTAACGAAAACCGTTTCAAGTTAAAATATTTGCGTCGGCGTTTTATTTCGGCACCGTTTTAAATCTTTTCCTGTTAGGCCCTAAGCTGGGAGGGCGAAAAGGTAAAATAAGTGTTTCGTGCAGGGGAAAAAATGTATTCGGTTCGCAGCTCCATCTCATGGGAGGCAGAATGAATACGTGCCCGAAAACGGCGGGAGAACAAATGCAGAAGTTTCGGATTCACTGAATAATTAAACATCAGGGTTCAGGCGTTCTCCATCGTTTCACCTTACGTTTGCCGACCCACGGCTTACGCTTCCAATCAAAAGTTTACGCCTTTGTGTCAAAATATTCACTTACGTTTGCTGCCACTTAATTAAATCTGCGGGGATTCTTTGAATCGACAAATTCAATTTTAGAATGAATATTTATAACCTGTACCTACGTCGCTGAGTATTTCCAAATCCGGGCCCTAATTAATATGCAGGGACCGCAACCGTATAAGTTGGCGTGTAAAATAATACACTTTACGAGTACAATAAGGAATGGAAACGACCAAATGTGAGTCGTTCGTTCGAGAAAGTTCTTTACTGTGTACGGTAAAACAAAGTAATATCTTTACTTAGCTCAGAAGTGCCACATAAGAGATATCATCACAAGTGACGAGTATAATAAAATTATTCACATGTCTTCACGTATCTGCAGTGCAGATAGAACATTCTGATTCTTAAAGTTGGGCAATCTTCATACATTATGATAAAGTCGTACGTTGCATTTGGATGGACTACCGATGTGCCAATGCACGAGAAACTAAGCTCTTGTGCCAAGAACATAAAGTTTCAGTCGGAACGCTTATTCGCCGACTAAGTGTTAAATAAAGTTACATACATTCGCTAAAGCCACTTCACATAGTTTTCTTTAAACTTTTCGTGTTTTTTCGCAGCCGCAATGCTTTTAAAAGCGTTTCTTTACTTTTTGAGTTTGATAATTAGCTAAAACTGTGTCTATTAAATAAAAATGTTAAGCAATACCTCTGTAAAGTTACGATCAGATACTAATAATATTAAACAATTCAGTAGGTAATTTGTAATCGATGAAGCAAAAACAACGAGAGACTTCACCTTCCTTCGGCTAAATCTCTAGATCCTTTGAATATTGTCAACCGTACCTTACTCGAAGGATATACGTCCTACTTATTTTTTCAGCCCGCCTTATCATTTAGGATCGGCCCTCACTGGCGTGGAAGTGATTCGGGCATTGAGCGGGTTAGTAACAGCAAGTGGAGACCCAGCCTTACTGTTGGATTTAGGAAAGCAACGAACGCTTGGAATGATTTATTTGTCTTTGTCTTCTATAAAATATAAAAAAGAAATAACTTGACATAATAAAGGAGTCTGCTTTTATATTTTACACTAGCTTTCCGCCCGCGGCTTCGCCCGCGTGGAATTTTGTCTGTCACAGAAACACTTTAACGCGGCATCCCTGTTTCAAAAACCGGGATAAAAACTATCCTATGTCCTTTTCCGGGATTCAAACTGTATCTATGCCAAATTTCATCAAATTCGGTTCAGTGGTTTTGACGTGAAAGCGAGACAGACAGACAGAGTTACTTTCGCATTAATATATTAGTATAGATAGCGGCCGCCCGCGACTTCGTACGCGTGGATCCCGTTTTACCCCCTTCATCTATCTTACGCGGTTTAGATTTTTTCATACAAATGTTTTTTCCCGCTAACTCCCGTTCCCGTGGGAATTTTTCAATATCCTGTTGTAACTAAACTTTAAGTTTACTGCATGCCAAATTTCAAGCGTCTAACTTAAGCGGTTTAGATTTTTCATACAAAAGGATTTTCTCGCGAATTCCCGTTCCCGTGGGAATTTCGGGAATTCCTTGTTGTAACTAAGCTTTAAGTTTATTAAGGTACCTACATACCAAATTTCAAGCGTCTAACTTAAGCGGTTTAGATTTTTTATACAAAAGGATTTTCCCGCTAATTCCTGTTCCCGTGGGAATTCCTAAGTATATGGTTCAGGTTATACCTGCCCAGGAGTATGAAAAATAATTGTACCAAGTTTCGTTAAAATCCGTCGAGTAGTTTTTGTTTCTATAAGGAACATACAGACGGACAAACAGACAGACAGACAAAAATTTTACTGATTGCATTTTTGGCATCAGTATCGATCACTAATCACCCCCTGATAGTTATTTTGAAAATATATTTCATGTACAGAATTGACCTCTCTACAGATTTATTATAAGTATAGATTACGACGTAAGATAAAGAATAAAATTTACATTAACACTCACCTAAACTCAATACCAATTTCACATTAAGTATTAAATTTAGTTATCACAAAAAAATAAACACACACAGACCGACATATAACCTCCTCCTTTTTTTGAAGTCTGTTAAAAATATAATATGTAGGTAACATTAAGTTCGTTTGCAATTTGAAAACGAACAGACGTCCGAGCTGTTTTTGTTATATCCAGTTCCCAGTTAAGAGCGTTGTAGCAAANCACGACTGACTTGAACGGCTGAACCGACAAAAACATTAGAAAATTTACGAAAAAGTAAAAAAAATATATCCCGTACAAAATGTTCATGGATTGTGTTATTTTTATTAAATACCTTTACGCCTGAGTTAAATGACACCGACATCAATGTTCATCAATTCAAGTTTAAAATAATAGGCAGTAATGTCATGAAAAAAGAGCTTCTATTCTGTATCTACCTATGCCCGTGTAATTTTGATCGGTGTCAAATCGGAGTTTTCGTGCGGGGTGCGCGGGTGTTTCGCGCGGCGTGAAGGTCAAACGCCCAAGGTCATTGAGGACTCTAATCGCCTTAATGAAAGTGGAGGCAAGTCAAATGGTATACAAAAATAGTACGAGTATGTTATTATGTGTAAAGTTTTTTTTATTTGTTCCAACCTCTGGTGGTATCTGGCTGGTTATGATTTTTTTGAAAAATGATTTTTTTAATTAAAAAGGTAACCTAAGAAAAAAGTAAAGCAGTTTCCCGCCATTTTTAAGATTTTCATTATGCTAGTAATTTTTTAAATAAAGATAAGGATGTTAATAGTTATATTTTGTTACAAATCATAAAGTTTCAAGTACTATAACTTCATTACTCAATTGATATCGTCTTGGAGATTCAACTTAAAGTTATTTGTTACTTCGATAGTGAGTGTAGTGGAAGTTAATTAAATGAAAGAGTGGACTGTATACAATTAATTGTCTATTCGGTATAAATTAACAATGATATTGAGACCGTTTAGTGCAAAGTCGTTGAAGAGAGTGTGTCAGGATCGTCTTCTTAGATGTTCGCTCGCGAACCGAACATTGCTCGTTCGTTCGCCGAACGCTCGCCGCTCCCTCCGGTCACGCCGCCCGCGGGCAATGTCCGTGAGTAGACATATTGTTAATAGCTAAGTAAGTATTTAACGACAATCTTTTAATGACACGTTTAGTAAAAACTTAATAGGCAATAAAAACAAATTTGAATTTGAAAACTTTGATAAAATTAAATTCAAAAGTCAAAAGGAAGGTCAAATCAGCTACTCACGTGTGAATGAGACAGAGTCTCTCATGTATCTTGTTTCTCATTATTTTACCGTAAATGGTTTGCTAGATAGCGTCAACACATTCTGATAGCAGGGACTTAGACCGGATCCCTGCCAGCTCCGGCTCACGTTGTAGCTACGGACCTCCCGACTAAACATTCAGAAAGCTTCTTTATATAATGAACGAGAGCTAAAACTTCGACACCGCGATTCAGGAATGCATTGTCAAAATTTTATTTCTCTGTAACGATCGACCGTTTTGATACAAAACTTTCTGTAATAGAAGAGCATGCTCAAATCTAGCTGTGATATTTTTTTCATATCATTAGTTTCAATGATAGTAAGTTTTTGAGGTTTTTAAGTATTTTCCATGTCGTTTATGGAATACTAAAAGGTATGAAAGAGACGACTAGATTCCCTTCGTTACTGGGAGCAGTGCCCATGACAGTTAGGGCGACAGCAGACTTACGATTTTTTACGGTTTGCGACTCTACATTTGACTGTGGTGTCACAATGGCCAGTTTTCTTTTTCATGTTTTGTCAATACTTTGCACTTTATTGAGGCATTGCAAATTTTTACGACTGCATCAATGATGCATTACTTGGGGGTTTACTGTGCTCTATTGTGAATAGAAGTCGCACGTTTATGTTATGAGACAGCCACGGTTGGCGTTTGTTTGTATTTGCGTATATCTTCCTAAAAGCGACTTAATCGCTGTTCGCCTATGCTAAGAGTAGCAAGTCTGCTTACCCCAGTCACAGTTGCCTTGCGCCCTTGCGTTGCCAAAATTGATTTTTAGAGCAGGACTCTCCCTTTGTCTATAAGTTAGAATAAGACGCACAATAATAGGTGCCTCCCTCTATCAAAACTGAATTGGAATGAAAAACTTTTATAAAGTTTTTTCTATTCTGTGAAAAGTTTGTTTGTAAACCGCAAACACGTAATGACACGTAATTATTTAACTATCGCCCGTATTCACAAACATTATTATGAGGTCTCACAGTGCGCGTGGACGCACAGGGTGACATATGAACCAACCACAGAGCTCTATTTAGTGCTGTGCGTTCGAATACGGGCGTATGTCTTGCACAGTGCAAACTAATATCGCTCTACCATTTTTCAGAGGGATTGGCCCTTCAAGTGAAGGAGGTAAATGATGAGATTCCCGAAGAATACCTTAGCCACATGGGCAAATACCAGAATGCTGTGAGGAAGGCCACCGCTCTCATCGACGTGCTGAAGGACCATGCGCTGAAACATTCCTCGTTTGACGCTTATAGGTAAAAACATGGTAACAAACAAAAATTTAGCTTAGTGATGGAGAGAAGTCGATATTATATTTGGAATTCCTCTTAAAGGTATTCTCCTGATTAAATTCGTTGCAGTTACCAAAGCTGTACCTAAGATATTCCCTCTGATCATTCAACCTTCACTAGGTAGCTTTAATTTCTTAGAAACTTTAGATCCTTGGTACAGGTGTTGCAGTGACTGGAAACTTTTATTTTTTTATTTATTTTTTATTTTTTATCCACACTTGTGGGATTAGTCCCGTTTTAAACGAATAATTATGAGGTGGACGTCACAAATGACACAGATAAGACAGTCGCAGAAAGTAAACAGTTTTTTCAGGCCATAATGGGAATTCGAAGCGACAATAGCCCAGAACTGACCGAATCCAGTTCCGAGGAACGCGGGTTGGAACCCAGCGTGGTGGACCTACTCCTAGTACGAGCATTTATTTAGCACGAGCTAGCGGGATTTTTTAAAATGATGATTAGTTATGTCCATTTCTTCAATGAGTTACCTATTAACTGGTAGTCATTTGCAGACCCACCAACATGTACCGGGTGCAGTCACTGGTGCAGCAACAGATGCCACTTCTGCTTCACATGGGAATGTTCGTGCCCACCATCATCGGGCAGGCCTCGCCTGACCAGCAGGCCGAGTGGCTGCCCAAAGCACTCTCCATGCAGATTATTGGCACTTATGCACAGGTGAGGACTGCACAATGATAGATCTTGAGTTTGATGCGTAAAGTGTACCTCATAAAGGTCATGTTGTATCAATATTGAATATTTTTCGCGCGCACGTTCTCCATTTTAAAGCTGATACAGGCAGGAAGAAAAATTAAAAGTTAAATTCAGTAAAATAATGGAACTAAAATACCGACCACTCAACATGTGTCCTGTTCTAGGATAGAACCTAAGAAAATAACGCTGTACTATGGAAGCAAAAGTAGAAAAGAACGGCATCATAACGCCATATTATCTTTCACGCCATTCAAGTTTCATTTTCGCGACCAAAAGTTATCTTGATATTCTTGATATCCTTCTCCATCAGTTATAATAAATATTGTAATATTGTAGTATGGTGTTTCAATTAATGAGTAAACTATTACAGACAGAACTGGGCCACGGGACGTTCCTTAGAGGGCTAGAGACGACGGCCACGTATGACTCCAACACCGAGGAGTTCGTGCTGCACACGCCCTCACTCACCGCCTACAAATGGTGGCCTGGAGGATGTATGTACTTACAATAGTTCTATTTTCTTTCTGTAGCTGCAATATATGAGGCCATGGTTCTTTTTAAGGAACCCAAGACTTCTAACAAAACTCTAGGTATTGGTTCCCAAACTTATTTGAGACGCGCCCCCTTTCGACCATACAAAAGTTCCTCCAGTCAAGATTATTATTGGTCGTATCGAGCAGTCTGGAATGCGAATCTGAGCGGTCGTAGGTTTTTTATACTTAAGTACACAGATGGCCCGCGCTCCCCTTTAAAGTCTTTGCGCTTCCCTGGGAGGCGCGCCCCCACTTTGACAACCAATTTTATAGAGTACCTAGTACCATCTATACTTTCATTATGTAGCTGCAATATAATGACGTTACAACTCTTAAATATATAAGCCATAAGTTCTGACATAACTAAATGGCATCGCAGGGTAACTTTTTTCCCGAAGCACGGAATCTTTCTTTTTAGACAGGTTCTAACTTGCAACCAAACTGTGTATGAATACAGTAAAATTTTACTATCTTGGCCTATTTTTGAATCCGACTCTGAACTCTGAACCAAGCAAAGACCAATGTTTAATGTTATTATAATTTACAATAAGTTTACGACTTTGAAATATTTATGAAACATTTAAATAATAGATCCGTGTATTTGCTCAATAGCAGCATTAAAAACCCTATTTATTGATACATACGAGTACCTACCTAGTTATTTATTGAAGACTAGCTTTCCGACCGCGCCTTGGCCGCGTGGAAAATTTCGGTTTTTTGTATAATATTAATAACCTATGACACTCAGCAATAATGTGGCTTTCTATTGATGAAATAATTAGTAAAATTGGTTCAGTAGATCCCGGGATTACCCCTTACAATTTAACAAATTAATATACAAACACACAAACTTTACCTCTTTAGTAATTAGTATTAGATAGCTACCGCTATGCTTCAACGTAACCTTGAAATCTTGATGGTTGCCCATGGACTAGAGAACAATGTAAACAATAGATCAATCGTTAGTATTGCTTTTCCTTTTAACGTTTTTCCTTTAAACTGTTTCTCCCAATGTTTTCCCCATATCTAAGCAAACAAAATAAACATGCCCAACACGCATCAATTGTCAGACCTCGAAGAGAACTAACGTTACGAGTACCCTTTTGAGTGGAACCCAAGCAAATGGAAAGATCGTTCTAAATTGGCAAATTGAATCCGGGAACGTATGTACGAGTAAAGTGCATGGATCAACGCGATTGTCGCGCGTCTTATATTATACGTAATTTTTAATATACCTATGCGCTATGTGGAGATTTGCGTTAGCATTTGAAGTTTACAATCTGATAATGTTCTATTAAATGACGGAATCGATGTTTGCGAATTAAACAATTGTCCTTGGACATCCGATGCGACAGCCGATCTAGTGCCATAAGCTTGTGCTATGAGTATACCACACACATCTAAAGTAAATACTTACTGCATACCTAACTATTTTAATTTCATACAGTAATTTTGCTCAGAATTCAACGTCCATTATGACTACTTAAAAATTACATTTTTATTTCAATGTTTCTGGGAAACCTTAATACATACTAAACTAAACATTTATCTATGTAAGAACATAATACTTTTAGTTCTTTTTGGTCGTTTGCCTACCTATTTACCTACTTATTTACATGGCCCATGCTGGTAGCAATTTTAAATCCCCGCTGCGCTGCGAGCAAAATTCTATGCGATGCTAATACTCCTAGATACTGATTTCTGTTTATTTAAGTTTAAAAAAGAATCCTTTTTTCAAATTCCAGTGGGCCAAACCGCCAACCACTGCATCGTAGTGGCTCAGCTGTACACAAAAGGACAATGCCATGGAGTCCACCCCTTTATAGTGCAAATAAGGGACAGTGAGACCCACATGCCATTGCCGGGGATAAAAGTGGGGGAAATTGGCCCCAAGTTAGGGTACCAGACTGCAAACAATGGATTCTTGGCGTTCGATAACTTCAGGATACCCCGGGACAACATGCTGATGAAGAACGCTCAAGTACAGAAGGTAAGTTGAAATAGTTATTAACTACATTCTTTTGGTAGAGGTTTAGATTTAAAGATTCAAATATTATTTACATATGTAGAAAAAATAGGGATTAAATTAAGCAAACTCTAACTGATGTATCTGATGCTTATGAGTAGGCGCACACCGTTGATTTTTCGTCGGCCGATAGTTTAGTCGGGCTGTTGATCAGTATGGGCATGTATGGGAGTGCGCACACTACACCAATTCGATTTGGCCGATTCTTCATACAACTTGAAATCGGGCACAACTATCGGCCAACTAAAAATCAACGGTGTGCGCCTACTCTAATTTTGTGGATAGATGTGCAAAATATATAAAGTTGGTCGCAGTATTTGTTATGAAGCCGTTTTACCCACTTAGGGTGTAGAATTTCGTAAAATCCGTTCTTAGTGAGTACCTACCTACATTCTAAAAGGAACCCCCATGCAAAATTTGAGACTCCTATCACTCGTAGTTTCTGAGATATATAGATTTACCGTGCCTAGGTCAGTAGTTATTTAAGTAATTCAGTGCACCAGAGCAACGTATTTTTATGACAAATTACAATGTAGATTTATGTAAGGTGCATGGATCAAGAAATTCAAGAACAATATTTTCAATGAACTAGTTTTTTGTGCGTTTTTTAATTCAACATTCATGGACGTCTTTCGGCTGAAACGAACGAACGAACATAATACAGTTGTGTTGTGACACAGTAGTAGCACAGTAGTGGTGACGTATGTAACGTTACCTATCAATTTTTTATTACATTGTTACGTTTGACTTGCAGTTTTGCTGTAGCAATTTTATTTTTATATGCACACGTAGATACTATTATGAAAAATCGGAAAACCGTGTGGTTAAACGGGGCTATTCCCACCTCTCGTTTCCCACCGCTGCAACTCCTGTGTAGCCAGGATCTACAGCTTGACCGCCAATAAAAACCCAACCAGTGAAAGTTAAGTTTGTCCTGAAGGAAAGTTAAACTGTCATTGGACCCGCAACGAAATTAATCAGAAGCATAGCCACCTACTACGAGTAGTACAGCGACAGTGATGTGAAAACAATGTTCCGAATTTAGGGCTTCGTAAGCCCATGTTAGTTTTTAAATGAAAAGCATGAAATGTTGTTTTTCTGATACGGCTCTACAAAACCACTTACATTGTCCTAACCGAAACAAAAACCAAGGAAAATAATAGTGACTTGTAGTGTTACCTCTTTCCTTAGTTGCCTACGATAGACTTAAAGTCTAACTTAAAAATGAGACTTGATGCTTAAGTAAATGACGGCAATTTGTTTTAGATTTTACACTAAGATATGAGTGCGATCTGGCAATAAAGCAAGTCATGCTGTTAACCCTTGATCTGACAACACGTAGATCGTTCCTCTGCGACCTTTACACTATAGAGTTAGAATGAACTTGGCTTCTCACCTGCAATAAAATACTAAAATAAAAGCGAACATACTAACGAATATGTTAATTAATATCTTGTAATATTTACGTGAGATAAACACCACATGTTAAAAATGTATAAGGCTCATAAATGTAAGACCTCATCAATACAACGCGATATAACCACAACAAAACAGGCACTTACTTAATTAAGGTCAGAATTTTGTCTCTTGTAATTGAAAAGAATCCCAACTAATATTATAAATGCGAAAGTAACTCTGTCTGTCTGTCTGTCTGTCTGTCTGTCTGTCTGTCTGTCTGTCTGTCTGTCTGTCTGTCTGTCTGTCTGTCTGTCTGTCTGTTACGCTTTCCCGCTTAAACCTCGCAACCGATTTTGATGAAATTTGGCATAGAGATAGTTTGAGTCCCGGGAAAGAACATAGGATAGTTTTTATCCCGGTTTTTGAAACAGGGACGCGCGCGATAAAGTTTTTCTGTGACAGACAAAATTCCACGCGGGCGAAGCCGCGGGCGGAAAGCTAGTAAAAAATAAATATTTTTATTATGTAAATTGGCTTTTAAAGAGCACGCTTACACGTCCGATGTATTAATGTTAAAATAACTCTACCAATCCCTTAGGACTGTCACTGCTGAGAAAAAGATTTCAGGGCCATTTCCCTGAAAAAAGTGGTTTGTTTATGACCAGATATAAACGAATTGTAGACCTAATTCATGATTAAAATCTACGTTGAAGGATGTTAATAAATAGGTATAGTTATTATCTTAAGACACGATAAAAAATAATCATAAGCAAAACGCGATCGTTGGTGTTGTTGACAGTTTTGTAAGATGATGCATCATTACCTCATCTCACGAACGACTTGGAGGTAGTTAAGTTACCTATTTCTCAATGTTCGCGCATTAGGCTGAGGTTACACGTTGTATTGAGGTGTTTATTTATTAGTTAATTTATTTACTAGCTTTCCGCCCGCGTGGTATTTTGTCTGTCACAGAAAAACATTATCCCGCGCGTCCCTGTTTCAAAAACCGGGATAAAAACTATCCTATGTCCTTTCCCGGACTCAAACTATCTCAGTGGTTTAGGCGTGAAAGCAAGACAGACAGACAGAGTTACTTTCGCATATATTAGTTACTAGCTGACCCGGCGAACTTTGTTCCGCCTTAATGGCAATCAATAACGGGATAAAAAGTACCCTATGTCCTTCTCCTGGCTCTAAACTACCTCCCTGACAATTTTCAGCTAAATCGGTTCAGCCGTTCTTGAGTTATAAGTGGAGTAACTAACACGACTTTCTTTTATATTATAGATTTATTTATTTATTTTCAGGACAACCAACAAAGCATACACCTTTATCGAATCTATCTATCGCTTTAATTCATATCAAGGTTCTGGCGCGATTACAGCTACAAAATTAGACTCGAAAATGTGTGCTGAAACAGCGTGCGACCTTCGTTTACGCTTTTCTATTTGAAATCTATTATTTGTTGCGTTCCGACTATAGTAGTTATTTTTTAATTCGTAGCGAAGGTAAATATTTTGTGGTCATAATGATCATGTATAACGTGAATAATGAGTTTAGAAACGTGCACACAGCGTGTCCACGTGTGCGTTACGCTACCAGTGTGTGCACACCTTTATTATGTTGTAACAGTTTGTTTTCGAATTAACATCGCAACTAAACTCAACTGGCTGTTATATCAACAAGGAATAATATGCACTACACTTGGCTATAATTAGACACCATCTAATTAAATGCTGTTAGAAGTGGTTAGAGCTGCTGTATATTACGCCATTAGTGGTCTCTACAATTTGCGACCGAAACTTTTCATATGTACATACATTGTGGTTCAGGCGCTAAAATTCGAACACTCTGTAAGAGTGTGGAAATTTTCGTGCGCAATTTGTGGTAGTCATTAGTGGTAATATACATACGGTCTCTACGGTCGAAAGGTGTATAGCTACATACTTACATCGGTATACGCCGAACATGCCACAAGTATTACTCTTGTGGCGTTACGTCCGATTTCGCATATCTTAAACGCACTCATCGGGTATCCTTGTTTGAATACTTTCATCATTCAGGAAGCTAGAGTTCCACACGATTAGACACCTAGACTAAATACAATTTCTGATTTCTCCACAACGCTCTTGGTACGCCCATGCGATTTTAGCAAATTCTATGCTTGCTGCGCTTGCGTTTGATTCCAATTAGGTGTGTCGTCGTCGTCGTTTCAGCCAAATGACGTCCACTGCTGGACAAAGGCCTCCCCCAAGGTTTTCCACAATGAACGGTCCTGCGCTGCCCGCATCCAGGCTCTTTCCGCGACCTTTACCAGATCATTGGTCCACCTAGTAGGAGGCCTGCCCACGCTACGTCTTCCAGCCCGTGGTCGCCACTCGAGAACTTTCCTGCCCCAACGGCCATCGTCTCTACGAGTTATTAGGTGTGTGTTGAATTTAAATGGCAACATTATATTAACGGTCCTTTCCTCTACAGGATGGCACGTACATCAAGGCCAAGAGCGAGAAGCTGACGTACGGCACGATGATGCTGATCCGCGTCATGATCGTCACGGACATGGCGTACGAGCTGTCCCGCGCCGCCACCATCGCCGTCCGCTACTCCGCCGTGCGCCACCAGTCGCAGCCCAAGCCTGAGTAAGTGTCTACAGGACGGTACTACATCAAGGCCAAGAGAAGCTGACGTACGGCACGATGATGCTGATCCGCGGGATGATCGTCACGGACATGGCGTACGAGCTGTCCCGCGCCGCCACCATCGCCGTCCGCTACTCCGCCGTGCGCCACCAGTCGCAGCCCAAGCCTGAGTAAGTGTCTACAGGACGGTACTACATCAAGGCCAAGAGAAGCTGACGTACGGCACGATGATGCTGATCCGCGGGATGATCGTCACGGACATGGCGTACGAGCTGTCCCGCGCCGCCACCATCGCCGTCCGCTACTCCGCCGTGCGCCACCAGTCGCAGCCCAAGCCTGAGTAAGTGTCTACAGGACGGTACTACATCAAGGCCAAGAGAAGCTGACGTACGGCACGATGATGCTGATCCGCGGGATGATCGTCACGGACATGGCGTACGAGCTGTCCCGCGCCGCCACCATCGCCGTCCGCTACTCCGCCGTGCGCCACCAGTCGCAGCCCAAGCCTGAGTAAGTGTCTACAGGACGGTACTACATCAAGGCCAAGAGAAGCTGACGTACGGCACGATGATGCTGATCCGCGGGATGATCGTCACGGACATGGCGTACGAGCTGTCCCGCGCCGCCACCATCGCCGTCCGCTACTCCGCCGTGCGCCACCAGTCGCAGCCCAAGCCTGAGTAAGTGTCTACAGGACGGTACTACATCAAGGCCAAGAGAAGCTGACGTACGGCACGATGATGCTGATCCGCGGGATGATCGTCACGGACATGGCGTACGAGCTGTCCCGCGCCGCCACCATCGCCGTCCGCTACTCCGCCGTGCGCCACCAGTCGCAGCCCAAGCCTGAGTAAGTGTCTACAGGACGGTACTACATCAAGGCCAAGAGAAGCTGACGTACGGCACGATGATGCTGATCCGCGGGATGATCGTCACGGACATGGCGTACGAGCTGTCCCGCGCCGCCACCATCGCCGTCCGCTACTCCGCCGTGCGCCACCAGTCGCAGCCCAAGCCTGAGTAAGTGTCTACAGGACGGTACTACATCAAGGCCAAGAGAAGCTGACGTACGGCACGATGATGCTGATCCGCGGGATGATCGTCACGGACATGGCGTACGAGCTGTCCCGCGCCGCCACCATCGCCGTCCGCTACTCCGCCGTGCGCCACCAGTCGCAGCCCAAGCCTGAGTAAGTCGATCGTCAGTCCACCTAGTGGGAAGCCTGCCCACACTACGTTTTCCTACTCGAGAACTTTTCGTCCCCAACAGCCAACAGCCATCAGATGTACGAGCTATGTGCTCTGCCCACTGCCGCTTGAGTTTTCTTTGATTGAGATTCTGCGGGCTAGTCACTTTGGTTTTCCTGCGAATCTCTTAATTTTTTATCCGATCACTTAGGTTCACAGTCCATGCAGTTAATTAATGACGCGAAATAATTTAACGCCTTCGAAATGATGTGCTGAACATTAGCTACTACCTACCTTCCAAAAAGAAACGATTAACAAACTTGCAAAAGACTGGTCTAGTCTATACTCAAAAACATTTCCACGTTTATTCCAGTCAGCCCGAGCCCCAAATCCTGGACTATGTGACGCAGCAGCACAAGCTGTTCATCGCCATCGCGACCAGCCACGCGTACAGGCTCACCGGCAACTGGCTCTGGTCCACCTACTCGCAGGTCACGCACGACCTGGACAAGGGGAAGCTGGACCACTTGCCTGAGGTATGAATGACCCATTTCATTAAAAAAATCTTTCTTGGTCTTAAATATCTAAAAAGCTACAAGCTCATCTGAAGTTTCTCTGCACTACCTTTTTTCTGATCATCTACCACCTGAACCAGGGAAAGTAGACCAATAGCTTGAGGTTGAAATCGAACACAATATTGATGAAGATTATTAAATCACAAAATATTTAACTTACTTTTGATTACGCAATAAAATATCCAGTTGGCAGGCACGATTAATATTAGCCAAAAATATGTAACTTTTGCTTTATGCATCTTAACACCATAACAATAATCTCATCAGAGGTTACTTCCCTCCTTTTTCCAGCTCCACGCGTTATCCTGCTGCCTCAAAGCAGTCTGCAGCTACGATTCCACGCTAATAGTTGAGCGCTGTCGACTGGCGTGCGGCGGCCACGGGTACATGACGTCGTCCAACTTTCCCGTCATTTACGGCGTCACGGCCGCCGCCATCACTCTGGAAGGGGAATACAGCGTGCTACTATTGCAGACGGCGAGGTTAGTCGGCTTAGGTGTTATTTTGCTTGATATCTACACAGTATAGGGGTTAGCAAAAACATCTGCAGCTACGACTCAACGCTGATAGTTGAGCGCTGTCGGCTGGCGTGCGGCGGCCACGGGTACATGACGTCGTCCAACTTCCCCGTCATCTACGGCGTCACAGCCGCTGCCATCACGCTAGAAGGGGAATACAGCGTGCTACTTTTGCAGACGGCGAGGTTAGTCGGCTTAGGTGTTATTTTGCTTGATATCTACACAGTATAGGGGTTAGCAAAAACATCTGCAGCTACGACTCAACGCTGATAGTTGAGCGCTGTCGGCTGGCGTGCGGCGGCCACGGGTACATGACGTCGTCCAACTTCCCCGTCATCTACGGCGTCACGGCCGCCGCCATCACACTGGAAGGGGAATACAGCGTGCTACTTTTGCAGACGGCGAGGTTAGTCGGCTTAGGTGTTATTTTGCTTGATATCTACACAGTATAGGGGTTAGCAAAAACATCTGCAGCTACGACTCAACGCTGATAGTTGAGCGCTGTCGGCTGGCGTGCGGCGGCCACGGGTACATGACGTCGTCCAACTTCCCCGTCATCTACGGCGTCACGGCCGCCGCCATCACACTGGAAGGGGAATACAGCGTGCTACTTTTGCAGACGGCGAGGTTAGTCGGCTTAGGTGTTATTTTGCTTGATATCTACACAGTATAGGGGTTAGCAAAAACATCTGCAGCTACGACTCTACGCTGATAGTTGAGCGCTGCCGACTGGCGTGCGGCGGCCACGGGTACATGACGTCGTCCAACTTCCCCGTCATCTACGGCGTCACGGCCGCCGCCATCACACTGGAAGGGGAATACAGCGTGCTACTTTTGCAGACAGCCAGGTCAGTTGGCTTAGGTCTTATCTTGCTTGATATCTACACAGTATAGATGTCAGTAAAGCGGTCTGCAGCTACGACTCTTACCGGCTGGCGAGCGGCGGCCACGGGTATAGATGACCCACGCTGAACTGTCCCACCAAACTCAATGACAGGGGGGCGTTACCATCGTTCAACTATATGGTTTCCAACGTGGCAAAAATCAGAACCAGAGATCCGGTATTGACGGTGGCGCCCCACTGTCAATGTCATGCATAGGACAGTTCAGTATTTTGGAACTATACATGACGTCGTCCAACTTCTCCGACATCTACGGCGTCACTGGCTGCAGGTAGATACTGGCTTAAATCTTTTCTTAAATACAGTATAGATGTATCCTCAACTAGTGAGTGCCAAGTTAATGTACAGACAAGGACAAACTTTCCTGATGACCAGCTGATTACTTTACCTATGGCAGTAAAACCAAATTCGCGTAAATATTTGTATTCCATTTTTTGGTACCAGTGTATTCATTATTTAAATTGGCACCATGTTATTGAATGTGGTTGGTTCTATCTCTGATGATGTAACATGATAGTGCTTATCTGTCATCGACTGCAGTAGGGGACAAGGGTTATCTGTTATCTAGACTTTATCCAAACTCGCTTTATTTTGTAACTTACAACAAAACATCAAAATTGAGAAATGAGTATCCACCCAGTATGTGATATGCTAGTTTTAAAATTTACCTTATCTCCAGGTACCTCGTAAAGGCTTGGGAGCAAGCGAGAGAGGGAAAAGTGATGACTCCCACAGTATCGTACATGGTACACTTCATCAAGAACCGGCTCAAGTGGGCCAACACACCCGAAGGCATCATCGCCAGCTTCCAGGCTGTAGCTGCAGGGTAAATACTTCATATTGCTGAATATAGGTTCTTAATGGGGATGTTGCCTTGGTCAAAAAGCAAGAGTTTTAATTAGTCCGTCAGTTAACTTATCAAAAAATACTCTACACGTATTTTTCACTTTTTCAAACTAATGAAAATTTAAAGAGATAAAGCGCCCCAAAGTTCATAAGAAGAGGCCCGTGACGTCAACGCTTGCTTAAAAATGCCGCACGTTGTGACGTCGTGCGCAACTTCAACGCACCATAACTATGTAATTATTTGTTAGATTGACAAATAAAAATATACGTGTCCAATATTTTTTGATATTAAACATTACGGACTAAAAAAATTTTTTTAGGCAACCCGACGATCTGGTAAAGGTCGCGGGAAGAGCCTGGATGCGGGCAGCGCAGAACCGTTCATTATGGAAAACCTGGGGGAGGCCTTTGTCCAGCAGTGGACGTCATTTGGCTGAAACGAAACGAATACTGTTGATTATATCATCATCATCGTCAGGTCATCTGGTCTCTACAGATGCCCAACCCTTTCTAACTCACTAGAGGCAGATCAAATGGATGATCTCCTAAAGGGTGGTCAGGCAGTTGACATTCAAAGCTAAAATTTAGATTCCTTGTATCATTGATGCGCTGCTTTTCTCAGCACTGGCCCATTTATTGTCCCGAAGTAGTGGTAGGGTTAATAACTGGGACGTGTAAAAGTGCTTTTTATAGGCCTATTTGCAGAAATTAATGAGTTTTATAAGTTTTTCGACCTTAATTTACTTTGCAGTAAAACAAAGGCAGCGTACGACGCACTTCAGAAGTACAAGAAAGCCGGCAATGACTATGAAGATTCGTGGAACTTGGCATCAGTCCAGCTCGCCAATGCTAGTGAGGTAATCAACTTATACAAATAATTAAATGCAGACACCGAGATAAGAGCAATTTGGTATAAGAGAGCCTGGACAATGGTTGTATATTTTCTTAAGACATTATTACAGAGCATGATGATGCTAAAAGAACAGATTCCATCAGTACCAATTTGTAAGACGAAAAGAAGAATTTTGTAAGTGTACCTACAAGGAATTGACACTATCGAGGTCTATTATTGAAACCTGTATGCTTTCGCCATATTGATGTGTGAAAATGATTTGTTCTAGGCCCACTGCCGCGCCATAATCTGCGAGGTGTTATGGAAAGAGATGCAGAGGCTGACCCCGACGCTGTCTCCAGCTCTGGCTAAAGTCCTGCTGCAGCTGGCGGAGTTATACCTGGTCTATTGGGCACTGGAGAAGAGTGGGGATTTGCTGGAGGTAAGCTGTACAATGTCAGCGACTTTAGTTCGTTTACGGATCTCCTCATTTCTGATTCGATCTCGTAAAGAAACACCGAGTATAGCCCTCTCCATAGTACCTACGCTGTGCAACTTTGAGCTTCTGTATAAGGCCTATAGTGAGAGGCCACGTTTCCGAGCCATAAGTCATCACAGGTAACACACATTGGTTGTAGACTTTCGTCTTCAGGCACTGGGGTATTTTGGGTATTTTGGTAAGGTAGCCCGACGGATCAGCAAGCTGAAGTGGCAGTGGGCAGGGCACATAGTACGCAGAACTGACGGCCGATGGGGCAGCAAGGTTCTGGAATGGAGGCCACGTACCGGAAAACGCAGCGTGGGACGTCCACCCACAAGGTGGACCGACGACCTGATAAAGGTAGCGGGAAGGCGCTGGATGCAGGCCGCTACCAACCGTGCGATGTGGAAGTCATTGGGGGAGGCCTATGTTCAGCAGTGGACGTCCTGTGGCTGAAATGATGATGATGATGAAGCTGTACAAACCACCCACAAGGTGGACTGACGACATCATAAAGGTAGCAGGAAGGCGCTGGTCACTGGCCGCTACCAATCGATCAACATGGAAAACATTGGGAGAGGACTTTGTTATGCAGTGGACGTCCTATGACTGAAATGATGATGATGAATTCCATGATGAATGATGAGTTGTACAAATAGCGATCTTAGGAGCTTGATAATAAGACTTATTGTCATCGCTGTCTCCAGCTTTGGCTAAAGTTATGGTGCAGCTGGCGGAGTTATACCTAATCTATTGGGCGCTAGAGAAGAGTGGGAATTTGTTGGAGGTGAGTTGTACAAATTATGTACAAAATAGTTTTTGAGTTATGAGAAAGTGGCTCCAAGTGGTTCGTGTAGGCAGGCCTGTTCATCTCCGCGAGTTTACATCGAAAACAAAACACGCAAGATTGCCCCCTACAAGAGTACTATTCGACAAGGCCTCACATACGAGCGAACATTGACTCACGCACGCGTATTCTTGTGTATGATGGAAAAAAATAAAGAAAATTGTGTACTAAATACTGTGCAGTATTTAACTGCCTAAATAATAATAAAAACACAGAATGTACTTTTTAAGTTGCCTCAAGACACTGAGAGGTAAATAAGTAGTTAATATTATTCATGATAATTCATGCTAAATCCTAAATTATGTATTTCCTCCGCCATTTTCTGCAGATTGGCACCTCACGTCACATCATTTTACCGAAGTCAGCCCTATAGCTTCGGCGCAGTACCGATCACTGACGTTTGTCAACAAAACTTCTGACAAACTTGCTTGACTCTTGAGACAAGCTAAATTACACCATATTGTTAATGACATTGAGCATACATTTTTTTAAATACCTTCGCGAAGTAAAACTTCTGTACGTAGTACTTATTATTATTCTGTGGTGTAGGTAATATTTTTTACACACGGTGCGTCTCTAAGCTGAAACTAGACTTAGCACGCCCCAGCGTGTCTAGACAGCAACCCTAGGAGCTTGATAGGAGCTGTCGTTGCAAAAATAAGTAGAACAAATATGCCCGCTAATATATTGCATGAATGTGAGAGTTGCAATCACACATAGAGGTATCTTGACTAGAGTCATGCAGCTGACAGAGTCATACCAGTAATACCACGTAATACTTAGACGCTGGAGAACAGCGGGGTTTGTTCGAAGTGTGATTTTTTTCGAAACACAGTTTTCATCTCACCAAACACACCCAAGTGCGTTTGCAGTGAGCAGTGCCGTAACTAGCCTTTTATGCGCCCGGTGCGAGCTTTCAAAACTGCGCCCTTGAAAATGCTTGGTCTGGTCATTTCTGCGCCCCTCCAGGGTCTGCGCCCTGTGCCTGGGCACCGCTGGCACCGCCCTAGTTACGGCACTGGCAGTGAGAGTTCAGTTTGAAATCAGAAATTAAAACTCTACACATCAAGTGCATTATTGTTATTTCAAAACTCTTTAGTTTGTACAGCTGCGAGTTTGCTCTTTATTGCATGGCAGTGAGAGCACTTATTTGTTATCATCACTGTTTTTTATTTGATGCCATTATTAAGTTTTATACCACACACGCTAAAATTCCATAGAGTATTAAACTGATACGATCTTAGAGCAGATAAGACTACTGAATAAAAGGTATCGTTATCTTCTTGATGATTTTATTGTCCTTTGAACCTATTGAACGCGGACTTTGGGTTGATTGAACCTACCTATTTATATAAAACTAGCTGACCCGGCGAACTTTGCACCACATTTGTTCATCAGAATTAATGAAGAATTTTAATGGTGTAAGGCAGGGTTGCACCATCTTACTTTAACTTTAACAAACGTCAAAAATCTGTCAAACTCCATACAAAAACACCGGTTATCGTCAAAGTTACGGCCAAAGTTAGGTGGTGCAACTCAGCCTTAGACTTTTCTAATCTGTCCAATAAATAAACAATCAAATCTTTCCTAATTATAATACATAAGTGAAGTAAGAAGGGATTTATGTAGTTTTCTCGAGAAAGATTCTTATTTTTAACTTTTTTCCTACGTTTAATTTTTAGGCCACATAAACTTTTCCAAATGATATCTTACTATAAGCCTTTACATGAATCCTACAGAAAAATGCCATTGTAAATGTTTGGTTGTTTCAGTATTCGAGTATATCGAGCAAAGACCTGACACTGCTGCGGCAGCGGTACGAGGAGTTGCTGGCCGCCATCAGGCCGAACGCCGTCGGCCTGGTCGACGGGTTCGACATTAGGGATCAGGTGAGGACTTGGAACGTAGCGTGGGCAGGCCTCTCACTAGGTGGACCGACGATCTGGTGAAGGTCGCGGGAGGTGCCTGGATGCGAGCGGCGCAGAATCGGTCCAGCAGTGGACGTCTTTCGGCTGAAACGAACGAAGGACTTGGAAGCAATATTTTATTTAGAAATATGTATAGGTAACTGAAACGTTATGATGATAAGATTTTACATGATGAACATTATATTTACATAGTTATAGCATGTATGAATAAAGTATGAATAAGATGTTTAGCAGTGGCTGGATAAAAATACTGTAGGAGATCGTGCTTTCAAATCATCGATTAATGTCTCTTTGTAACCCTGGGATATTGGATTAAATGAGTTTAAATTGCATAGATCCACAATCATGAGAGGATTTCTATACTTTTATAGATGCTTACCTATTTTGTTTCAATTCAAAGATTCTGAACTCGACCCTGGGAGCATACGACGGTCGCGTGTACGAGCGGCTGATGGACGAAGCCCTGAAGAGCCCCCTTAACCAGAAACCAGTCGACGAGTCCTTCCACAAGTACCTCAAGCCCTTCATGCAGAAGTCCAAACTGTGATACTACTGTTAATCTATTAAAGCATTTCACATGACATGCATAAGACAAGTAACCAACGTGAGTTAGTTTATGGGTAGTTCAATAGGTACTTAATAGCGAGCTGTAACTGTAACCAAAAAATAAATAATATACGGTTTGCAGCGCTTTGACGATGATTCAGTCAGTCAATAATATTAATTAATCATTTGCAACCCTAGAATCCTATCAATGTATCTGGTGGTTACATTTACAGCTTGCTGATAAGGCAACGGCCTAAAAAGATGAAGTTTATAGAATCGAAAAGTGTTTATTTTTGTAAAATATTTATGGGTATTTTTAATCTTAGGCAATTTTATTTAAACATTTGGGGAGGTTTTATGTGTTTAGTGGCCAAAGAAAAGATTGTGTAAGAGAAATGTTGTACATAATATGTAATTTATTAATAAAATAGTATTTTTGTATTTTATTCGGTTCTTCTTTAACAGATTCCCATTTCAAGTACCTTAATGGCAATCAAGATATTGTTGGTATTAACGTTAAATGTAGACAGAAACAATCTATATATATAAAAGAAAGTCGTGTTAGTTACTTCGCTTATAACTCAAGAACGACTGAACCGATTTAGCTGAAAATTGTCAGGGAGGTAGTTTAGAGCCAGGAGAAGGACATAGGATACTTTTTATCCCGTTCGAAATAAAAAAAAAAGTCTGCTTATTTTTTTTTTTTTTTTTTTTTTNATAATTTTAGCATTCTGTTAATTGGTGACCGAATACCTGCATTGGTTCGGCAAGGCTTGATTGCAAACAATTTATGCGTTCGCGAAGATCTCATTAGCGATCTTGTGGGTACACTATATCTTAATTTATTAGTAATTTCTGTGCAATCATATCTATTGTGTATAATATCATGTAGCAACATAGTTTCAAGTTGTATACGTCTGGATCGAAAGTCAGTTAATTTATATTTGTTAAGTAACAGTTTGTACGATAAGCGTTTATGGTGACATTTGTAATGTATGTATCGAAGGTATTTCTTTTGTATTCTTTCAAGTACAAGATTGTATTTTTCGTATAAAGGATTCCATATTGTTACAGCATATTCTAGTTGACAGCGAATTAAAGACACAAAAAGGTATCTGAACGTTGAGCTCTGCTTAAACTTTACACCAGATCTGATGACAAAGCCATACATTTTGAAAGCCTTGTTGACAATATTATTAATATGTATATCAAAGTGTAGTTTACTGTCAAGAGTGATCCCAAGATCCTTAATACTATTTTCCTTCCCAAGGGTAGTACCGCAGAGTGAGTACGAGTAATTACTAATTTTTTTCTTTTTTGTAAACGTTATAGCTTTGCATTTATTAGTACTTAGTCCAAGTTTATTAACATCGCAGTATAAAGATAGTCTATCTAAGTCGTTTTGTAGTTTGGTATGATCATTTGAATTATTGATAGTCCTATATATTTTTAAGTCATCTGCATACAGAAGAAATTTACTATTGTGAAAACATTTATATATGTCATTAATGAAAAGTACGAATAAAAGTGGCCCAAGAATCGAACCCTGCGGTACACCGGATGTGATTTCAACGCATGTGGATTCAAAACCATCAATTACTACCATTTGAGTTCTATTGGAGACATAGGATTTGAACCACCTCCAAAGATTTCCTCGAATACCATTGAATGCAATTTTTTCAAGTAGGATTTTGTGATCCACCCTGTCGAAAGCCTTGCGAAAGTCAGTATAAATACTATCAATCTGTTTGTTTTCGTCAAGACCTTCAAATAGATCAGTTGTGTAAATAAGTAGATTGGTGACAGTTGAGCGACGTTCCACAAAACCATGCTGTTGTTGCAAGATTGAATTATGAAGTTGTGGGTAAATAGCTTTATGGACCAATCTCTCACAAAGTTTCGACAGGGTAGGCAAAATGGAAATCGGACGGTAGTTTTCTATATCCTTTTTGTCTCCACCTTTGTAGACCGGTACGATTCTTGCGGTTTTCCATATCCTGGGAAACACTCCATCCTGCAAACACTTATTAAATAAATAGCAAATAGGTTCGTCAATGACGTCGGCTATTTGTCTCAAAAAACAGGCATGAATGTTATCAACTCCAGCACCCTTATTGACGTCAAGTGCCTTAAGCGAGGCATTAACTTCATCTTTTGAAATCACAACTCCATTGATCAAAGCACTTGAAGTCATGCTGTCATCTATATTGATGTGTTTAATTTCAAAATTATTTGGTACGTCGGAAGGCTCGAATACCGACTGGAAAAACGTTGAAAAAAGGTTACATACATCCTTTGGTGAGTTTGCAGTTACTCCCTTATAGTACATTGTGTTTGGAATATCTGAATTCTTGTTACGATTTTTTATGTATGTCCAAAAAAATTTAACATTACTTCTTATACTGTCTTCTACATGCCTCAAGTAATCATTATAACGCCTATTAGCCATATCCTTAAATTGTTTTCTGTACAAGGAGAAAATACAATAATTTGTTTCAGTATTATATTTCTTCATTTGTATCCATGCCCGCTGTTTTTTCTTATATAGGTTTATAAGCGTGGGAGTAAACCAATTTGGGAACAACGAAGACCTGGTAACTTTAGTAGGGACATACTTTTTAATAATATTATGTATCTGTTCGTAAAAAATAGAGACTGCATCCTCCACATCCCTTCCTGAAAAAACGTTACTCCAGTCAATAATTTTTATTGCATCCCGAATTTTTGTATAGTCAGCATATCTATAGCAATATTTCAAATAGCTTTTGCATTTCTTTTTACCCAGTTCTTCTATAATTGGTATAACTACTTGAAAAGGAGGGTGATATAAGTCGGGCAAGACCAGTGGAACATGTACTGATGACGTTTTGCTATTTATGTTATTACTGATGCACAAATCTAACACTTTACCAGTTTTGTTTTTTAATAAGTTCAATTGGTAGCACTCAAATAAAGTCATGAAATCAAAAATACATCCTTGTGTTGAGCTAATGTTTGAATTTTGAATAAGTTGTGAGTATGCACCTTTACTTTCCCACTGCAAATTAGGTAGGTTAAAGTCGCCCAGTACATAAAGGTCAACATCTAAATCGAGTAATGTTTTGCGCAGACTGTCTATGTAAGCATGGTATGTATCATAGTTTTGATTAGGCGGAATATAAACAGCGCTAATAATCAGTGTACGGGTGGCAAAAGTAAGCTGAATCAATAACTGGTCTATGAGAGGCGGGAGGGGCGCGGCGGCGCGGGCGGCAGGCAGCTCGCGCGCTCCCGCGCAGAGCGCGCGCGACACCGCCACCAGTACGCCGCCGCCATCCCGCCGCCCACAGGCCGACCGGTCTCGGTCCCTTCTAAATACCTGGTACCTAGGATCGATAAATTCGCTATCAGAGATGTCACTGTGCAACCATGTTTCCGTTAGAATTATTATGTCATAGGTACTGGAGATAACATTCGCGTAAAGAGTGTGCAGTTTTGTTCTTATTCCTCTGCAATTTTGATAATAAAGTGATAAATAACTATTACTCATTATAGGTGTATCTTCTTATAAGACGAAAGGCATAATTGTGATTATGAAATATTGAGACATTTGTTACATAGTAGTTAGCTAAACAGATACTGGTGTAAACATACAGCCAATTTGTGTCTCGTACCCGCTGCAATAGTTCTATTACAATCAAATTGTTACTAAATAGACTAATAGTGCAATATCTTAAAATAAACCTTTTCCATAACAAGTTACTCAACCTAAACCTTGCCATATTATTCTTATAATAATATACTAAGTTTATTAAGGCACATAAAGTAGAAATTATTATATTAATACCTAATTTATACAGATTAGTTCGGTAGTGTAAATAACAGTGAAGTTTAGAGCCAAACAATCGATTTAATTGTGACAGTGCTTTTAAGTGTTCAACAATTATTAAAAAAATAAACAGGTTAATTACAATGTTATTACTTAATTCTATTGACATCTTTTTCACTGCGGATTGCAAAGATGGGTGATGTATCTGTCTGGCGAACGAGTACGGTGCCATGCTTAATCCAGACATGTTTGTAATTATGTTTTTTAGCAGCATCGCGGCATAAACGAAACAATAGTTTATTTTTAGGGGTTAGGTGTTCATTTAGATAAACTGTACGCGGGGTACAGTTAATTTCAAGTTGATCAGTACGGACTCCCCGTGCTACCCGCGCTGCGGTGATAATATTATCACGCAATATTTTTGATGCTAATTTAATAATTACGTTTTTAGGATGTTGATTCTTCTGATCGAAGTGGGGCACTCGATGAGCGGAGAGAATATCCGTAGCGTTGATAGGATGTTTGATGATCATACCAATTTTCTCCATCACATTTATGAGATTTTCGTCGCGGCGCTCAGGTAGATTTGCGATCTCAATGTTATATTGTCTCGCTTGTTGTTCCATTACTTCAATTTTATTATCTAACGCAGCAATCTGGTAGGTAAGGGAGCTGTTAGATAGTGATTTCTCTTCAACTGCTTTCAAACGGCAATCGAAACTATCTTGTCTTTCGCCGGAGTAACTGAGACTTTTTTCTATTTCATCCAATCGGACATTGATAGTTTTAAGCGAGTCTATAATAGATGAGTTTAACTTTTTCATTTCGGAATCAAGCGCCGTACTAACAGCATTTTTTATTGTGTTCGAGATAGTTATCTCCAGCTGATTCTTAAACACGTCAAGCTGCTCATTCAATTTCTGTTCAACAATCTGCACAATTTCGGACTCAGGTTGTTTACGTTTTCGAAGGTGTACAAAACAATCAGTCTCACCGGTATCCGCAGAGCTGTGTATATCTGGGTTTGATGCATATTTCATAGTTTCTGTAGATGGAGGTGTACGCTGCATTGTAGGTGGAATTCAAAACACAGTGCTCCGATATCACACACACGGAACTGGGCTCTCTCACTATTTCGATAAGGTGGACAATAGAATGCACTATTTCACACACACAACTTGATCGCTCATAGATGTACACGACTGCGTAAGATCGACTCCACACGATGAATTAATTTATTGCCATTAAGGCGGAACAAAGTTCGCCGGGCCAGCTAGTAACCAATAAATGAATGAACCAAAACCAAAATCCTGACAAATTGGCAATGCAATTGTTTTGAAGCCAACGTTAAAGAACCTCCCAGCATAAGCCATGACCTCATGTAGTGGCATGACGTTGATTTTCAGTAAATAAATAGGTAGGTAAGTAAAAGTATTGTTCTTTGTGCCACCATAAGGTAACTAATATAACTACAGTCAGAGGTAACAATGCTAGGTACGATACACGCCACAGAATACCAGAATACCTAACTATTTAATAACATGGCTGAGTAATAAATAAATTAATAGTAATGTGATAATGATGAAATAAAATGCCAGTACACTTGCTATTTTTTTCAGACAAATTAATATTGTAGTACCAGTAGTGGACGTCATATCGTCTAACCAAAATCAAAATCCTATTCATATTTTTGTAGTAAATTTTTTTTCAACTAGTAGCTTGTATTCGTCATAGTACCTACTCTAGCATGGTGTACCTACGTAGGTACTACCTACATTGCTAAAACATAGAGCGTCATTGTTATTCTCGCTACTTGTAGGTAACTTATTATTTTAGATTTTTTGTAATGTATTGTCTCGTATATTATTAAAAAAGTAGGATTCGTACCAACAAATACATCACCAGTAAAGTGGAGGCTCGCGTCTCGATCGCGTGTATAAATAAAATAAATAAATAAATAAATAAATCTTTGGATAATTTCACACAGCGCCAGCTAGCCCCAAAGTAAGCAACTTAATGCTTGTGTTATGGGTGCTAGCTTAACGGATATACTACTTATATACTTTTTTTTTTTATAAATACATAAATATTATACATAGTCACACCCAGTTGTATCTTTTTGTATACAGTAAAAAAATCTCTTCTATCTGTTTGTTACATACAATAAAAGTAGGTACCTAAGTCAGCTAGACTAATTCATTCGTTTAAACTCCCACTAACACTATCAATCATACTTTACGTACATCTTACGATGAAGATGTAGGTTGAAAAATTTACTGCAGGTAGTTCCATAGCAGTATTCTCTGAATCGAGAGAACTGTAAGTACCTTGTGGAAAATCGTGAAAAATATTCTGAAAAAAAAATACAAGTTAAATTGTGGGTGTGGGACTATCTTCTAACTTCCAACAATATATTTTACAACACATGCACGCTGCATAATTTATTGTTTATCTTATCAGTAGTTTTAGTAAATAAATTATTCAAACAATTTTTATTTTTATCACTGAGATACCACACTTTTTTCATCGCCTCAGAGTAAGGCTGACGTATAGTGGATGATAAGATGGCCGGTGTAAATGTAGAAATTAATGAAAATTTGGTAAAAGAGAGAAGCAAATGTACTTTCAACGTGAAGGAACTTACTCATATTTTTGATGGAGGTGAAAAATTGACACAGGAAAGGAAACGATTGGGTAAGTTTTACATTCAAACTTACGAGTATATGTAAAGTGATAACATTGCTGTGCTTGTCGCAATAACAATAAAAAAATAAGATAATGAATCGTACCTATTCATTTTTGTTCTTTTAGAACCATGGATTTCTTTAGGCAAATAATGTAACTTGTATTATCATTTTAAAGGTTTTCTTACGTTACAGAAGTTTTTGTTACTTATTTTTTCAGTAAACGCAATACTCAGCGTCAAAGAGTTGCAAGATGAGGTGTCAGAGTTGTACCTGAGTTACAATGAGCGGTACGAGAATGTGGTCCGAAAGGGCATCCTGCTACACAGTGTGCTAAAAGAAAGCAAGGATAAATATGGGGAGCCGGAGTGAGTAACTTAAAAAAATACTAAACTTTGCTTTCTCAGTGAAAGTGAGGAAGTCGAAGTCGAAGATACGGTACAAGTCGAAACAAAGTACTTATATGGTAAAAGCCAAAGATAGTGAATAAAACTAAACGGGATGAAAGGTTTTGTTTCGTAGCGCTGGTAGGGCAATAAAGTAATGACACATGCAAAGGCTCCTTATACCTACTAATTTAAGTAGCAGTAGTAGTAAATAAATAAATACATTTTTGATTTTGGAAATAGGCTTTAAACCTAACAATGATGCTGAGCGTCAATTTACTACCAAATTTAAAAAAGTTTGAGCATCGCTCGTTTCTCATAAAGTAACGCACTATTCACCTTTGACCTTTCGACTATTGCCACAAAGAAATTATTGTTTGCTTTGATTTGTAGCCCCAGAATACTTCGTCGCGCGCAAGGTATGGTGTTCAGAGACATGTCGCCATTTTTACTCCACTTGGGCATGTTCATCCTCACTATCGAGGGTCAAGGCACACCGGAGCAACAGAGCGAGTGGCTGCCCAAAGCTCATTCAATGCAAATCATTGGGAGTTATGCCCAGGTAAGTACTAAGTACCACATACATTTGTTCTTTTCGGCCAAATGACGACAATAAGGATTCCTTTCTACTTATCTTAAAATTGCCATGCTCTACAGGGTTCATCCTATAATGTTCTCGTTTTTAAATTCATGATGGAAGTAATAATTGTTATGGGGTACGTGTGATCAAAACTGTTGTATTGGAATGAGAGAGTCTTCTTTCACTAGTTTTAAACTACATCTAGTTCATTCTCTAGTTCGATTGAGTGAGTGACCTGAACTTTCAGACAGAACTTGGCCATGGCACGTTCCTCCGAGGCTTAGAGACGACGGCCACCTACGACGCTAGCACCGAGGAGTTCATCCTGAACAGCCCGAAGCTGACGTCATACAAGTGGTGGCCTGGCGGACGTAAGTTATTCAATCATCTCCCAGTATTCTTATTATTATAACGGTATAATAAGAAGAATACTAGGAGATGATCGACTGGTGAAGATGGGAAAACTGACGTTACCATCCTGATGAGTCAGATTTTAATAATCAAAGGCTTTGATGGGTGTTTTAATAGACTTTTTTAAAACTAAATGAGCATTCATAATGTATCCAGCTAAATACGAACAACAATGCTAGATAGATATTAGTTTAGTATACATGTACCTATTGTACTTCTAGCGATTGCGTTATCATTGGATTTAGAAATAACTGTCAGATTTGATTTTTTGATTATTTCTAATGTTCAAATAACCATATAAATGGGCAAACTAAATCGAAATTGCCATTTAATCTCGGGAATATTATTGTTTAGATGTTAATCATTCAATTAATTTTCAGTGGGATCAACCATAAACCATTGCATAATAGCAGCGCAGTTGCACATAAACGGGAAGAACCATGGAATCCACATGTTCATGGTGCAAATACGCGACCTGGAAACCCACTTGCCTCTCCCAGGAATCAAAGTCGGGGAAATTGGCCCGAAGTTGGGATTCCAGACTGTCAACAACGGGTTTTTGGGCTTCAATAACTTCAGGATTCCAAGGAAAAATATGCTGATGAAAAATTCGCAAGTGTTGAAGGTAATGACGCTCAGGTGTATGATACGTTATCTAGTTACAACAACATAAATGTGAATAATTATACGGTTTGGAATGACACATCATTTAGAAATAGAGATGCTGAAAAATGTTGCAGTGGTAGGCACGAGTAGGTTTACGCAGGTGTCTTTATAAAACTGTGAAGACTGCTTATTATAACCTCTCTACCTTTATTCAATGAAAAAAAAATTCAGTGAAAAAAAACTTACTTCTTGTACCCAAAGCTACTAATGTTTGCAGTTGACTACTACAGCTACAGATCTTCTTATCACTATAAACCTAAACGTAAAGATGGAAAAAATTGCGCATATTTACCTGGGCACTATTCTTACAGGACGGGACCTATATCAAAGGGCCGAATGACAAGCTGACCTACGGCACCATGGTCAGGGTACGGGTGAACATATTGTCCGACGTGGCTCTCTACGTCGCCAAGGCTGCCACCATTGCTGTTAGATACTCTGCGGTCAGGCACCAGTCACAATTGAAAGCCAAGTAAGGTTTGAATTTAAGTTTTACTTGCAAAAAGGCATATTTAAATACTTTGATTGGTTTGGAACGTACAAATCAGCTTTTTTAAAAATCTTTCTACCTTCTAGACAACGGATATAAACATCATATCATATCATAATCATTTATTGCTTCATAAGTGTACATAGGTGGTGATCTTAAACTTAGTCTCAACTTATGACCCTGTAAGGGTATTGCAAATCTTGTATCGTAGGTACATTACTAAATATTCTACAATAGTTAGTCGTACCCACGTAATAATTAATATTGATAAATTATAAAATTAATTAGTTTACATAATATTAAATTACAATTAAAATACAATTATGTTTCTCTATACCTATTTATACATAATTTTCATCATCGCATCCTACTTAAATTATAGAACTCCTGAATACTATAGAGACATTTTGATATAAGGAACTCTTTTAGCTTGGTCAAGAATAATGAGTCTTTTTCAATATTTTTTATAGACTATAGGCAGTTTATTATAGACTACTATGGACATGTGGTAGACTCCTGATCTTACCAGGTGAAGCTTAGTGTCGGGTAACATACTTAAATACTTTTTTTAGTAAATACATAGGTATAGAAAACACCCAGTCCAATACAAAAAACATGTTGAATGCACACAAATGTTTGTACTGTGCGGGAATTGAACCCGCAACCTCCGAAATAGTTGCAGTGGTATGGTCGCTAAAAACCACACTGGCACACTATATTTTTATTTTTACTTTGTATGTGTGAAGTTTTATCAATATTTTTACTTTCAGAGAACCTGAAACACAGATCCTGGACTATTTGACACAACAGCACAAGCTGTTCATCGCCATAGCGACCAGCCACGCTTACGTGAGCACCTACGCCTGGATGATAAAAAAATATTTTAACGTGGTCGAAGACCTGGGAAAGGGCAAGTTAGACCATTTGCCTGAGGTACAAATCATGCTATGTCAAAAATATTAATTTGATCTATACTCGTACTAACCTTTCAATTCAATCTAGAAAAGAATCTGACTTTGCACACATACCTATATCATTTTATTTACTTCTCGTGTACATTTTCTAGGCACGTAGCGCGCGCTATTGTCGCGGCACTACACACATTATCATCAGGTCATATAATGAAGATACTCAGTATAATCAACACTGTAGACTTCACAATCATGATGTCAATTTGTAATTAGCTAATTTAAAATTTGCAAAAATCGACTGGCTCAGGTGGGAATCGAACCCACGACTTTTCTGATTTATCTTCTGAAGCAGGAGGTTTTACCTTTTATACTAGTTTTTTTGTTTTTTTTTTAAATATCTTTGGACAATCTCACACAGCGCCATCTAGCCCCAAAGTAAGCAATTAATATGCTTGTGTTATGGGTGCTAGCTTAACGGATATACTACTTATATACTTTTTTTTTTTAAATACATACATATTATACATAGTAACACCCAGACCCGTCACAGAAATTAAAATTCATCATTTCAATTTCTGCCCGGCCGGGAATCGAACCCGGGACCTCTCGGCATAGTAGTCCGTTCTGAACCACTACACCAAACGGCCGACGAACCGAACCGAACGAAATCTCGACCGAACGAGTTGTTTAGCATCATTAAAGAATCTTGTGATGAACTGTCCTTAAACCTTTTTAGCTCCATGCTTTGACTTGCTGCCTCAAGGCGACTTCATCTCGAGACGGCGCTACATTGGTGGAGCAGTGCCGTCTAGCTTGCGGTGGCCACGGTTACATGGCCTCCTCTAACCTGCCTATCCTGTACGGTCTAGCCACCGCCACCGTTACCTACGAGGGCGAGCATACCGTTGTACTTCTGCAGACTGCTAGGTAGGTAATTCCATTTTCCTAAACACTTCATAAGCAAGTCATTTAGTCTCCACTCTAATTAACACAGGCAAAAGGGCCACTTAGGTTGGAGAGGCCTGATGTTTGCATTTTTCCCTTAGTCTCTTCTGACCTTAGCTTCTAACGATATGAACCGGAATCTGAATCTGACGATAGGAACCACACGCCCTCGAAACTTTGATCTCAATCACACGTGATGGTAAGTGATGATGAGTTTTGAAATGGATCACACTTACTCAATAAATACATCCTTATTTAATATCTACTTATCTTGAAAATTCAATATAAGACGACATACCATTATTTTGTTTGTAGATACTTAATGAAAGCGTGGACTGCAGCTCTACAAGGGAAAGTGTTAGCACCAAGTGTTTCTTATTTAGCAGACGGCATGAAATTTAAGAACCAAATGTGGCAGAATACACCAGAGGGAATCATCGAGGGTCTGCACCACGTGGCAGCAGGGTGAGTCATATTTGTATACGTTTGAAGTTTGTTTAAATATAAACCAGTTTCAATCCTGTTCATTTTAAGGAATTTTCTCTTTATTTCAGCAAAATTAAGGATGCTTTTGATGTTATTCAAAAGCACGTAAAGGCTGGCAATGACTATGAGGATGCTTGGAATTTGGCGTCCGTACAACTCATCAAGGCTAGTGAGGTAAACACTTCTTTTTGAATACTTTCGTGCTAATGGAATCCGTCGTGGTGCATGGTATTTCATTGACTTGATTTCGACAGTTTTTCAGTTCATAAAGTTAGAATGTTGATAGTGTAACTTTTTATGAAAATGCTATAGTTATGCTTTATAGACCAAGTGTAGTTTGTGTGTGATTTTTTGACTTTTTGAATGTTTTTCAGGCTCATTCCCGGGCGATCCTATGCGATGGGTACTGGAGGGAAACTATTCGAAATTCCATGACCGCGTCTACGGGCGTAGCTTCTGTGTTGGGCTACTTGGCCCAGCTCTATATTGTCTACTGGGGGCTAGAGACATCTGGAGATTTATTGATGGTAAGAAATGTAATATAGCTTTCACATCTTCAAACACTTCCACTTTCGACCTGATCATCACTTTCCATCAGTTGAGATTCCTCTGTGAGGATAAAAAAAAAATGACAAAAAGATTGTCCAGGGTTGTTCAAAAAGTAATAAGAAAGGAATATTTCTAGCCATCACAAAAATCAGAAAAAATTGGATAGGTAGCTTAATTCTTCACTAGAAACAGGTGAAAATATCATTTAAGTTTACCTATGCGTTTAGGAATTACATTTAATTGAACGCGACCAGTCAAATAAAATTCTTCATAACGCATTTAGAGGACGAGAAGACCCGAAAAGACCTGAGCCCCGATTACGGTAACTTTTATCCCATCAAAAACAATACTTGTCAAAAAAACCAAGTCTCGCAACTCAGTTGTTCTGCGGTAAAAAGTTGTGAGATCCATGTAATACCAAGTCCGGGCCAGGAAATCTTTAACGTTTTACATAAATTATTGACTTGGCCATCGCACTAAATAATTTAATTTACACGTGTTTTCATGCGATGGCCAAGTCAATATATTTATGTAAAACGTTAAAGATTTCCTGGCCCGGACTTGGTATTACATGGATCTCACAACTTTTTACCGCAGAACAACTGAGTTGCGAGACTTGGTTTTTTTGACAAGTATTGTTTTTGATGGGATAAAAGTTACCGTAATCGGGGCTCAGGTCTTTTCGGGTCTTCTCGTCCTCTAAATGCGTTATGAAGAATTTTATTTGACTGGTCGCGTTCAATTAAATGTAATTCCTAAACGCATAGGTAAACTTAAATGATATTTTCACCTGTTTCTAGTGAAGAATTAAGCTACCTATCCAATTTTTTCTGATTTTTGTGATGGCTAGAAATATTCCTTTCTTATTACTTTTTGAACAACCCTGGACAATCTTTTTGTCATTTTTTTTTTATCCTCACAGAGGAATCTCAACTGATGGAAAGTGATGATCAGGTCGAAAGTGGAAGTGTTTGAAGATGTGAAAGCTATATTACATTTCTTACCATCAATAAATCTCCAGATGTCTCTAGCCCCCAGTAGACAATATAGAGCTGGGCCAAGTAGCCCAACACAGAAGCTACGCCCGTAGACGCGGTCATGGAATTTCGAATAGTTTCCCTCCNACAACGAAGTTACAGGCGGTCGAAAATGGCCTGAATTGCTTCGAGAAAAGGATGGTACGGCCGTGCCGCTTTTTTTCTCGACTTGGTGGGGGCACTGCCGTGCCCCCAGATAACGTCTACAATCCAGACGCGTTTCTGATTCTGCGATACGATTGGTCAAAACAGCTGACGTACGCTGTTGAACGACCAATCGAAACGCAGAATCGAGAAGCGTGTCTGGATTGTTGACGTTAAAAATTACCGTAATCGGGGCTCAGCCCCCCTAGACAAAACGCACTTTTTGATCGAATCGAAAATAGAATCCGTCAAAACTCCATACAAAAAAGGGGCTTTTCGACCACTTTTCGACTGGTTTGTGATTATAATTTGCACTTTTTCTAGACCCACAGATATTGGAAATTTGACATCTAATATCGGCAGAATGACAGTAGGAACCTCCTGGCTTTGATATTTCAACTGTATTACCTTGAAAATCAGTGCAAAATGGATTACTAAAAATTATTTGACAGGCGATTTCTACGATCGACAAATGCATTTGAATTAGCCTGCATGTGTCGTGAACCTCGCAATGGTTAGAAACAAAGTTAAATACGAAGACTAAACAAACAGGGTTAACGTTAAACGTGACACTGCAGGGCATAGGTCTAACCCCAACTGACACTCATATCGCATAATATGACCGATAACACGTCGTTGTCAATATTTATGTGCTTTCAAATGAGTATTGTTAGTAAATGGCACGCCCTCTCTTTGAGGTATTTAATTCTGAACAACTTGTGCATTATTTACGACATACAAATCTTAACATTCTCCTTGTTTTCAGTACTCGAACATATCCAGAGAGGATGTCACCGTTCTTAAAGAAAAATACGAGGTGCTATTGACTTTGATCAGGCCAAATGCTGTGGCACTCGTAGACGCATTCGACTTTTATGACCAGGTATGTAAGATCTTAACAAATATGTATTACTAGCTTTTTCTCGCGGCTACACCCGCGTGAAATTTAGTTTGAGAATTTAGTCACAGATCGTCATAAATTATAGCATATATGTTATACTGGGTTATAAACAATTATACTCTAAAGTTTCATTTTTGCGTGAAAGAGTAACAAACATCCAGACATCCAAACTTTCGCATTTATAATATTAGTAGGATTAGTAGGAAGTAGGATAACATTTTATAATTGTTTGGAAAAATGAGTGCCGGAATAGTTGTTTCTGAAATTAATCCGCGGTGAGGTCTGGAATAAAGTGGTATAGGAAAATAAGTCCGTTGAATACTAATGAGCTTAAGAATAAAACACATTCCTTTTAGGTAATCTTTTGATTTCGTGTATTCGTAGGTACATACATGTCCTCTAGGTTGTCTAAAATAGAGTTTCATTGCGAAAAGACCGCTTCAATTGTGCCGTCACTCTTTCTTTTCTTGTCTTATACAATTTTATAATAAAGATAAACCTCTTGATGTCACGTTTCATTAATATTGTTACCTTCAGGATTTGCATTCAACTCTGGGGTCGTATGACGGTCGGGTGTACGAGAGGCTGATGGAAGATGCCCTGAAGAGTCCTCTGAACAAGGAGCCCGTCAACCAGTCCTTCCACAAGTACCTCAAGCCTTTCATCAAGAGTTCCAAGCTTTAAAATTGTTTTAAGTGATTCTATAGAGGTGCAACACCACGCACCTTCGTTAACTTTTAAGTATAAATTTTAATAAAACATCAATACTTTTTTCTGTTATTATTATATAAACGCATTTTATTATTTTTCAAAAGAAAACTTTTGTATAAATTGTATTTTGTATAATTATGTGAAACGTTTTCCTGAAACAGTTTTAAATTCTAGGTAAAATGGTGTTTTACATAATTATGGATTTTAACTTAGGTACCTAGGCGATATGGTCCATTGAGAGGTGCGAAGGAAAAGAATTTAGCAGATAAATATTTATGTAAATATCAATGATTATAAGTTAGTAAATTAGTATTTATAAATATCATATTAACTTTTTTTTACATTTTCGTCCCTTAACGAACTTTTCCTAATTAAAGTACCCCTGCAGTTTGTGGGTTCGGACCCCGACAGGTCAGGGTAAAAATATGACAATCACAAACATAGGTGCCAAGTTATTTATTATTTAAAAAATTAACTACAGATTTGCTACTTTTTTATTTACAAAAGTACAGCTCTACGACATAGTTCTACGACAGCTCATAAACTTTTATTTTTTAGCAAATTGACACCTATTGCAATGTTAGATGACAGTTTTTAGCTTGTGCTGTCGTAAAAGTTGTAATCAGTGATAATGATGTAATTACAAAACAACAAAATAAATACTTAACAATTGATAATAACGATATTTAGGTAAGTATTTTATCTGTTATCTAATCGCAGTGCAAAGTACAAAGTCCGCTTTATGGACAAGTTGCGATTAGGTTGGCATCATATTTCTACAGATTGAATAAAATTAACACTCATCTTTTAGATTTATTACGAGTTCTCATAAAAATTACAAAAATGTGTATGACAGTCGCGAAAAACAGCTATTATGCTACGAGTAGGTACTCTTGTCATTACTTAGTCAACATAAATAAATCGTATTTACTGCGAATGTAAATGTACATAGAAATACAATAAACCTTTTGTTTTCCTTGACGTCAACGAGTATTTTTGTTATTGGTAGTAGGTACGTTTTTTAAAGAAACATGTTCTCGCATTCCCATTTTATTAATTTAGGTACCTAAAATGAGTTTTTACTGAAATTTCTATCCATCAAGATACTCATAGGAGTAATAGGCTCAAACGCAGAATACACACGATTTTTGAGGGCTTAGCTCTATCTCTATCTAATGTTATTTTTACTCGTTAGTTTCAAGATCTTGTTTTGTAATTATTTAATGCCTAAAATTTACTTAAATATAGGTAAGTACGTTGTTATCGTCAAACGATACTAAAACTTCTTTCTTTTTTTAGTTTTTACGTAGATCCAAAAGTCAATATTATGATAACCGGCCTAATTGAATCGCTCAAAGTCCATATTGTTTTTCCTATTACTAGAGATCGAACATTATTTGTTAGCTGTATCCACTCGAGTATTGTTGTATCTTAATATTATTATCGTTTTTATGACATAACGATACGCAATATCAAGAAATAACTTAGTTTTGAACAATTAGTATTATCATATCTTTAGATTACAAGTCCCAAGCTGACATTTCGCTGTGAACCGACATAGCTCATTGTCACTTACTTACTGTTACACTACAGCTGTGTGTCCAAAATGGCGAGCGGACTAAAAATAAACGAGGACCTTGCTAGAGAAAGACAAAAGTGCACTTTTAATGTCACAGAACTGACACATCTACTGGACAATGGAGAGAAAGTCACCAAGCAGAAGAAGCATTTCGGTAAGTTTTAACTGAGTTTTATTGATACAATAATAAATGTGAAGATCGAGTGACGATCCAGTTTTAAAATGATAGTGTGTAGTCATGAGGGAACGAGACAACGATATGTTGAAGTGAGAGCAGTGTGTGAGGTGGGTGACCAGTTCAAGAGCAGTAAAACTACCATAGCCACTTAGATTACGTTTTAAAATAATAAAAAAGTAACTTTTTGTTTAAAAAAGTTCTACGATGTTTGTGATTGCAACTTTTTGAATAACATTGGAAAAATTAGCGCTATAATCAAGACTCACGACTCACGAGTAGCAAACTTATGGACTTTTAATAAGGGAACTTTGATTTGATATCAATTAATAGGTAAATAAAATGTAACAAAGTCCACTCAACGGTACCTGTGAATGTATAATCTCATAAGAGATAATAAAATAGTTCAAGATAGTATCATTTATAAAACTTTTGCAATACGTAAACAAACGGATACTTTTTAACAAACAATGTTGCTTATGCATTATTTATTTAGGTTTATGTTTCCTTAAGAGCTATTAAATGTATGAAGAGTAGATAGATATTGCAAAAGAGGACGAGTTCATTGGCACACTTAATTATCTAGAAGTATACCTAGTTACACTTAATTATCTAGTACTAGCTTTCCGCCCGCGGCTTCGCCCGCGTGGAATTTTGTCTGTCACAGAAAACTTTAACACGCGCGTTCCTGTTTCAAAAACCGGGATAAAAACTATCCTATGTCCTTTCCCGGGACTCAAACTATCTCTATGCCAAATTTCATCAAAATCGGTTCGGTGGTTTAGGCGTCAAAGAGAGACAGACAGACAGACAGAGTTACTTAGAATATTAGTATAGATTGGAAGAGATCTTAATATTTCGTGAATATTATTATCTTTAAATATTTATAGATAATCAATTGAATGAGTTTTCGATAAGAATACCCCTCATGTAAAATTCTTATCTAGCAAGAGAATGATTAATTGAAAAACACTTTATCATACTTTATATCACAAAGACAAAAACTAAAATGAAAAAGCACAATTTGTAAACCATGTAAATGTGTTTTTTTATGCTAAAAAATAATAATAATGATTATTATTTTCCAGAAAAGACGTTGTTTAGCATCAAAGAACTTCAGGACGAGGTGCCAGAAATATACCTGAGCCACAAGGAGCGATACGAAAACGCGGTCCGCAAAGCTTGCATCCTACAAAAAGTGCGGAGGGATTACGAAAAGGAGCATGAAATTCTTAAGTAAGTTTTTTTCATTAATTTAACAACTAAAAGACAATTAAGTAGGTACATAAGTTACATTTAGATTGCTTATAAAAATTGAGTTGAACAGTATGCGAATTTAGCTTCTCTACACTCATTTATTTCTTGAGTGGCGATCATGGGTCGAAAGACGTAGTGTGGGCAGGCCCCCCTACTAGATGGACCGAAGATCTGGTGAAGGTCGCGGGAAGTACCTGGATACGGGCAGCGCAGAACCGGTCGATATAGAAATCCTTGGGGTAGGCCTTTGTCTTGCAATGGACGTCATTTGGCTGAAATGAACGAACGTTAATTTACCTAAATATCGTTCCTCCGACTTTTCTTCTCCTATAAGAATGAATGTCTTTGGGTACGCGCTGTCTCTCCCTGTCTTTTTTAGCCAGGCATAAATATTTTGTGTCTCATTCTTAAGAATAAATGCTCATAAAAATATCTCGTATTGATTTGCTGGGGATCAAATTGTGATCAACTACTAAAAATGGACTGATAGAGTCATTTTTGCATGTCAAAGGCTTTCAAAAAGAGCACTTGAGTGTTCATATTGCCCAATTAGTCGTGTGAACTCGTGTGCGAAACGACGAAAGAGTTTATTTTTGTATGAAAGTAGAGTCCCATAAATGCCCCCAGCTGAAAACATGTCCATATTAGGTATATTCTTGAAATAAACATTGATGTCGGTGACGGTGGAATAATGTTGATATTGTAATGGTAAATAGCCAAATAATACATTTAATATCCATAGCGTCTATTTTTTACATACACTACTTGTATAATTTTCTATTGTATTAGACACAAAATGCTAGTAGGTACTATGAATAATTTACATTATAATATGTTACTCTTGCTAGGATTATTAGATTGTTGTTATCTCGATTTTTTTTGCTAAGATAATATTTAAATATTGTACTTATTTTAAATAAAATTATTTATTTATCCATCGAAATACGAAATTTTCGAAATTTATTTTCTTTGTGATTTTTGATTGGCGTGCAAGGTTAGCGAAGGTGTATGTGCTCATGAATGCAGACAACCATTACTAGAAGACGCAGACCGCTACCAATCGATCAACATGGAAAGCATTGGGGGAGGCCTATGTTCAGCAGTGGACGTCCTATGGCTGAAATGATGATGATGATGATGATTACTAGAAGATCATGTCATGCTCTAATAGGTCGAATAGAAATCATTTTCATTTTCATTTGTTACCATAATATCTACATAACGATTGTAGAGGACTCAAATGAAGAGTTTCATAAAATCTCCAAAAACAAACTTGATTCTAAATGTCCAAGAATTATTTGAAAGTTTGTATGAAAACGTAAATATTTTTTCAGTAAAAAACAAAAAATCTTTCAGTAGTCATAACACTGAGTTTTTGACCTTGACTGTATAATAGTAGCCAATTTCATCCTGACTGTTGGTACACTCGTACCAACAGTACTTACAATAGATAGCACGATTAGGCGATTGGATTACCTAACTGCGTGGTTAGGTGGTTTAGAAACGTCTATGTACTTTGTAGACTCGCCTTCACGAGGTGATTAACCATGTAATTGTTTCCTTCCAGCTTTCGCAACCTGTTCCACGCTGAATATGGGGTCATCAAAGACGTGTCCCCGTTTTTCTTGCATCGGGGCATGTTTGTGCCCACCATTATGGGACAGGGCACGCCAGAGCAGCAGGCCGAGTGGCTGCCTAAAGCACAGGCCATGGAGATCATTGGGACATATGCACAGGTACACGTTTTACACGCTACATATTATTTTTCTACACTATACAAACGGATAACACTCGGCGCTACCGAAAGTGCTCCAATATGAGTAATTTTTGTAATGTTTGAGTTTCTACACGTCTTGTCGGAAACCAGCCGCAGATGCAAGGTGGTGCCAAAAATCCTTCCCGCAGTTCTTCTACTGGACCGCTTAGCATCGGTGTTTATTGCGCTACTTAAATGTTTGACCACTATCAGCGAACTTTTATGTACTATCCTCAAATCATAGAAGAGATCCCTTCTATGATCTGAGGTAACATCCAAGTCACATAATAGACTTAAATTATAATCTTTATAGCTGGTTATATAAATTACAGAATATGAACACAATTAAAGCAATCAGTATTACCTAACCAAATTTTCCATATTTGCAGACAGAACTTGGGCACGGAACCTTTATTCGAGGGTTGGAGACCACGGCTACTTACGACGCAAAGACTGAGGAATTCATCCTCAACAGTCCTCACATCACCTCATACAAGTGGTGGCCGGGTGGTTGTAAGTATTATTAACCACNCCAAGGTTTTCCACAATGAACGGTCCTGCGCTGCCCGCATCCAGGCTCTTCCCGCGACCTTTACCAGATCGTCGGTCCACCTAGTAGGAGGCCTGCCCACGCTACGTCTTCCAGCCCGTGGTCGCCACTCGAGAACTTTCCTGCCCCAACGGCCATCGTCTCTACGAGCTATGTGCCCCGCCCACTGCCACTTGATTTTAGCAATTCTGCGAGCTATGTCGGTTACTTTGGTTCTCCTGCAGATCTCCTCATTTCTGATTCGATCACGCAGGGAAACTCCGAGCATAGCCCGCTCCATTGCCCTTTGGGTGACCTTGAGCCTTCTTATGAGGCCCATAGTAAGCGACCACGTCTCAGATCCGTATACCATCACTGGCAACACGCATATACAATAAATAGAAGTACATCAATACGTTGGTTAATGGAAAGTCACTGGATGTTTTGATCCATTGCAGTCTATTATGTGTCCTTTAAAAGACAGTTGGTACAAAAAAACCTTGTGATTTCAGTGGGAACTACTGTGAACCACTGCATAGTAGTGGCTCAGCTGTACATCGATGGGAAAAACCACGGCATCCACCCCTTCATAGTTCAAATTCGTGACCTGGAGACACACAACCCGCTGCCAGGAATCCAAGTTGGTGAAATCGGGCCTAAATTAGGATTCCAAACAGCAAATAATGGATTTTTGGGTTTCAAGAACTTCAGAATTCCAAGAATGAACATGCTGATGAAAAATGCTCAAGTATTAAAGGTAATTGAGTAACAATAATCAAGGTTTTCGCATCACATTCAAATGTCGTGACGCCTTAATATTTTGATCATTGGCACATCACTTTTCACTTACAGGATGGAACATTTGTCAAAGGAATGAATGAGAAGCTGACTTATGGGACCATGGTGTTGGTGAGGGTCAACATAGTCTCTGACGCGGCATACCACACCGCCATGGCCGCCACCATCGCTGTGAGATATGCTGCTGTCAGGCACCAGTCACAGTTAAAAGCCAAGTAAGTTCGTTCGTTCGTTCGTTTCAGCCAAATGACGTCGACTGCTGGACAAAGGCCTAAGGTTTTCCACAATGAACGGTCCTGGGGCAGGCGTCCTACTAGGTGGACCGACGATCTGGTAAAGGTCGCGGGAAGAGCCTGGATGCGGGCCAAGTAAGTATTTGATGCCATTATAATTAATATCAGGATCAGTAATTTAGGATTGGCAAGCTGTATTGAAGGGTACTGAAGCTTTTAAGTGGACCAACCAGTGTTCACAAGATAGATTTGTAATATTCAGATTTAGTACAAGTTCATCAAGCTATCTTCCATCTTTCATTTATTTATTATTTATTTTTTCAGTCAACCTGAAGCACAGATCCTGGACTATCTGACTCAGCAGCACAAGTTGTTCATTGCGATAGCGACGAGCCACGCCTTTGAAAACCTCTACAGGTTACTGTGGCAACAGTATTTAAAGGTGGTTGAAGATTTGGCGAAAGGAAAGCAAGATCACTTGCCAGAGGTACGAGTATAAGTCATTGTCTAGTATTCTCCAGTATTAACTATTGTCCAGTATTCGCTTCTTCTAATTCGGTGCTTTTCGCAATACTTCGCTCCGCTGTCGCCCGAGTGTAATCGCATGTGTGTGGCCCATATCGCGATTGTTATCGTTGATCAAAACTGATAATTCCAGCTCCACGCTGTATCCTGCTGCCTGAAGGCGACTGCCTCTCGTGACTCAGCGATCATGGCAGAGCAGTGCCGGCTGGCTTGCGGGGGACACGGCTTCATGACGGCCTCCAACTTACCCATCATTTATGGGTTCTGCACAGCCGCCATCACGTATGAGGGCGAGCATACTGTGCTGTTACTGCAGACTGCTAGGTAAAGTAAAAATCCAAATAACCTTCCATAACTTCGAACTCCTATGTTCTTCTAATTAATTTCGTTGCGGGTCCTATGACAGCTTAACTTTCCCCCGGGACAAACTAGACCTTCGTTGGCGGTTTTATTGGCGATCAAGCTGTAGATATTGGCTACACAGGAGTTGCAGCGGTGGGAACTAGAAGTGGGAATGGTCCCGAAAAAGATCGAATAAGAGCTCATCCAGTGATAACTAGTTACAAAGAGAGAGTATTCGATTAAAAGGTTTTCTTTTTCATTTTTAGGTATTTGATGAAAGCATGGACCTCAGCACTGGAAGGCAAGGTGTTGGCGCCAACTGTCGCCTACTTAGTAGACTGGTTGAAGGCAGATAAGCAAAGGTGGAGCAACACACCAGAGGCTATGGTTAGGGGATTCCAACACGTAGCAGCAGGGTGAGTTAGTTACGTACATTCAACATTACACCATACTAAGGATGGGATGCACCACCTAACTTAAAATTTTACTTTAATAAACGTCAGAAATCTGAAACTCCTTACAAAACACACCGGTTATCGTTATAGTTACTGTTAAAGTTAGGTGGTGCAACTCAGCCTAAGTATACCTACTTTTTCGTTGCCGAACCAGCATTTTCTTTTGTAGTTTGTATAGTGACATTCTATTAAATTAAAACATATTTTCTGCAGAAAAATCAAGGACGCTTTTGATGCGATTCAGAAGCATGTCAAGGCTGGTAAAGACTTCGAAGATGCCTGGAATTTGGCGTCAGTACAGCTCATAAAGGCTAGCGAGGTGAGATAACGCACCTATGTTTGTCTGAAGTCACACCTAGGTATACATAAGTTTTCTAAAGTACCTAATCGACTGAAATCAACCTTAGCTCTTTAGTTTTTATGACCATCGCGGCCTGATAAAAAATATTTCTTATCAAAAGTATGGCCTAGGCTATGTTTAATTTTTATAGCTGAGAAAATGAAATAATGGATTGTCCAAGTTTTATTTTTACGATAAATAGTCCAGTCAATAAAGCATTATAGATGGAAAACTGTAGAACACAATTTCTGACTTCAGGACTTTATTTAGACTAGTTAGGAGGTGAACATAGCAAAAGTCCCCGTCCTTAGCCCTTGAGCCGGCGGGGAGAGGGGGGTTTAAAGGTGCCACTTTTCGGTTTTTCGCTTAATCCTCGGAAACTATGCGTCCTAGTGACATGACTACTATGAACCAAAAAAAGCATATTCAATTTGCTACAGGTGAGATAGTCAACTTTTTTGATAAATTGTATAGTTTTCGCGGCATCTGCTCTAGAAGGTCTGTAATATTGGAAATTTTATTTTTGTCTTACATGTTCCCATCAAGAGAAAATCGACTAAATCAACATTGAGCAATCATTCTAGACATGCGGGAGCATGTTAAGCCTAGTTCCAGGGAGGGGACTGCACCGTGCGTATATTTAGACGAACCACTTTGAGCCACTTTTGATTCCTCATCACTCAAAAACTACTGTGCATTAACACTTCAAATTTGGCTCATGTGTTGAGACTTGCAAGATATACATCAGCTTCAAATTTCATAAATATGCCTCAAACGGTTATTTAGGTATTGACGTCCAAAAATCTACATGTCTGACCTATATACCAAATTCTAACCACTTCCAGATGACCTCGAAGGTTCAAATTTGGCATCCAGAAAGGTAGTTATGTAAATACAAAGGAACAAATAAAAAACCAGTAAATTTTAACATTTCACAGGTGATAGATAGATTTTAGTGTTCTAAATGTCGATTTTTGAACGTCAATACCTAAATAACCGTTTGAGGTATATTTATGAAATTTAAAGCTGATGTATATCTTGCAAGTCTCAATACATGAGCCAAATTTGAAGAGTTAATGCACAGTAGTTTTTGAATGATGAGGAGTCAAAAGTGGCTCCAATTGGTTCGTATAAATATACGCACGGTGCAGTCCCCTCCCTGGAACTAGGCTTAACATGCTCCCGCATGTCTATAGTGTTTGCTCAATGTTGATTTAGTCGATTTTCTCCTGATAGGAACATGTAAGACAAAAATTAAATTTCCAATTTTACAGACCTTCTAGAGCAGATGCCGCAAAAACTATACAAGATATAGAAAAACTTGACGATCTCGCCTGTAGCAAATTGAATAAGCTTTTTTTGGTTCATAGTAGTCATGTCACTAGGACGCATAGTTTCCGAGGATTAAGCGAAAAACCGAAAAGTGGTACCTTTAAACCCCCCTCTCCCTGCCGGCTCAAGGGCTAAGGACGGGGACTTTTGCTATGTTCACCACCTAACTAGGCTAAATAAAGTCCCGAGGTCAGAAATTGTGTTCCACGGATTTCTCTCTACACCGTCGTTAAGGCATTCATTGACTGGACTAAAAAACTAGTCCATCATGACCTTCTTCAAGGTCCATCTCTCTTTATTTTATTAGTTTAAATAAGTTTTATAATGCTATGAAGTTTAAAATAAATCATCTCTCTCTAGTTAAACCTACTTATTTATTAATTATTAAGTACTTCCTCAATGCTTACTTTTTATTGACTTAGCCGTGAAAAGGTGATAAGCAGACAGATCTCTCTATTTATAATAATCGTATGGAATTAACATTTGCAGGCCCATTCCCGCGCCATCTTGTGTGACGCGTACTGGCGGGAGACCATCAGGTCATCAGCAACAGTATCCTCAAGCTTGGCCGCAGTCCTGAACCATTTGCTGCAGCTGTACTTGGTTTACTGGACGCTGGAGACTGTTGGAGATCTATTGATTGTGAGTTATTTATCTTTATTTGACCAACGTCATCATGAGTTTACGTTACAAAGCTCATGGCACCCTGAGTGAGGTCTCTTTAATTTGGATCATGGACATCATAGAGCACTGCTTACTTCTCATTTGTACAATGTGTTTTTTTATTTTCTTAGTGTTTCTTCGCTGTTGTTTACAAACAGGCGATCTTATTAGAAGTCTAGTTCTTGAGTTCTTGAGGTCTAGAAGTTAATTCCTTTAATTACAAAGATGGTGAAATATCCTTCGCTAGCCCAACATTAACATTTTTTTTTGCTATTTCCAGTATTCAAACATTGCAAAGGAAGACATTGCTGCTCTAAAGGAGAAATACGAAGAGTTGTTGGCTCTGATCAGGCCAAACGCCGTGGGCCTTGTAGACGCCTTCGACATCAGTGATGAGGTACTTTTATCTTTTTAAAATAACTTCCGAAAGGTCATATCTAGGGCAATAAAAAGAAAATGTTAAGCTGTAAGATTCTGAATGACCGAGCGAAGCGCTAGATCGCACACCGAAGTATGGGCGACACACGGATCTATCAAGTCTCGGCCAATTTCCCACATAGTGTATATGCTCCACAGAGCATGGAATAACTAAAATTATCGAGTTTCTCAAATCTCAAATGACTCCTTCATGTCAAAATCAAAATAAAAAATATTTTATTCAATTTAGACCAACTGCACTGGTGGGTGGCACTTATGAAGGTCAAAATATAGTAAATAAAAAAAAGGTAGCCCCTATGGGGCACTTTACATGTCTCGTTATCTTTTGGGCCCTACCAGCGCTTCGAGACAAACATAATGGCAAGTGCTGAGAAGAAACGCCGGAACAAACTTTGTGCCTCACATAACCATTAAGAGGCCAACTCTCTTATCGTAGGTGATGTAGCAAGTACAAAAACGAATACTTCTATTAATAAAATTTCTCTTCTCCTCAGGTCCTGCAGTCCGCTTTAGGGTCGTACGATGGGCGGGTGTACGAGAGACTGATGGAGGAGGCCATGAAGAGTCCTCTTAACAAGGAGCCCGTCAACCAGTCCTTCCACAAGTACATGAAGCCCTTCATAAAGGCCGCGAAGCTATAAACTGTCATATAAAGTATATCTATAGATATCTATCCACCTAAATGTAATTAGAATTATAAAAAAAAATTGCCACCAAAAATGTAAGCTGTAACAATGCTAAACCAAAAATATGTTATTGTTTGGTTGTAATAATATTTTGTAAGAAGGTTAAGACTTTAAACAAGAATTGTGATAAAATAATGATGAAGATGATAGTTCTTCTTTAATTCTGGGTGATAAAAAATGATAGCATTAGGTACCTGAAATAATTTTGATTTGGATTTTAACCTCAGTACTTAGATAAGATGAATACAAATAACTATAATAAGTATACTTAACAAAGTACAATAATATACCATAAAACTTTTTATCGCAAAGTAAGCAATCATAAACGAACAAAATAATAATCACTTAACAAAGCTTTATTTTATTTTTATTAAGTAGTACAATTAATTTGTTACTCTTGATAGTTTTTTAATATAGATAACACACCGTTTTTATAAAGTTTTAAAAGTGTAATTTATTAATTTTTAAATTGATCTTTTTATAATAACTACCTCGATAATGAATTATCTATATTATTTGTTGGCTTATTTTTTTAAATATGTAATAATGATATTATCATGATTCATGATAATCATGTTTATAGCATTCGGAATAGCTCCTAATTTTTTTCGAAACAATTTACCATAATGACTATAAAATGTTGTAAATATAATTCTGTAAAATTTTTACATACCTATAATTTTACCTATAATACATACCAGTATTTTAATAAATAATGAAAACTTACTAATGTTTTTATTTATTAAACATATATCTAGGTACCTATTTCCTACTTTGTACATTAAGTGGTTTCGTACATTAAGCAAGTCTAGTCTATCTATCATTATGTTAACCAAAGGACATCCACTGCTTGACAAAGTTATCACGAAATCTCAGTAACGACAAGTGCTAGGAGTCTCAAATTTTGCATGGGGGTTCCTTTTAGAACGTAGGTGCTCATTAAGACGGGATTTTGCAAAATTCAATCCCTAAGGGGGTAAAACAGGATCTACACGTACAAAGTCGCGGGCCCGCTAGTATTTAATAAAAATTGGTAAAACTCTACTGTAGATAGATTTCAAGGTTAGTGAATTCGCGAATACTTCGTCTCAAACGCATGTCACTGTGTTACTAGCCCAGTAATGTAGTGGAGTGAACTTAATGTAGACAGGGACAGCTGAAATCTGCAGTATGCTAAACAAGGACATAATGTAGAGTCGACTGGCATAACATAACTGATTGTTAACCTCAGAGAAGGACAATCACAGAGTTGGTTTGACTTAAAGTTACATATTCGTATAAAAAGTTGTGACCGGATTGTTTAATCGGCTATGAAAATACTTTAACTGCAATGTAAAGTCTAGTGAGAAGTAAATAAAGTTTTGTGTTTGAACAAAAAGTATCAAAAGTTTGCTCATTAAATATTGGACGGATTCTCGTGAAATGTGATTTTTTGTCGGTTTAGAGTGTTATGTGTTAAATAGGTAATTGAGTTTAGATAAAAAACACAAACATATTATAGTATAGGGTCAGTAATAAATCTGAGACTTATTCATGATTTAATTATTATAGTTTCAGAACAGATTTTTTAACTTGTAAGTTGCGATATAACAATAATAGACTAAAAAAAGTAATTGCTGGTAGTAAAAACAAAAACCGCTTGTTTCCAACGAGTTCAAACTCAACGAGTAACACTGTTACTCGTTGAGAAACTTTACACTGTTTTCTTGTCAAGTTTGAGCCTAAATATAAAATAATTCATATTCATATCCATGAAAAATATCTATTACATCTTACTTACTGTATTAAAAAAACATATCATCGTTTAATCAATTACACCGGCCGAAGCGGTTGCATCGATTAGTTTAAAGTATTTTTGTCTGAAAAAGACTTCTGACCGCAACATGTATTATGTTTAATCTACATAAGTTTAAATACTACGTAATGATTATACTTTTCGGCGCGCAAATTAATTTCAGTCGAAGTTCGGAAGGCAAGTTGGTAACTTGCAAATTATTATTATCTATTATTTAATTTTTTTAAACTTCGAGGGACAATCGAATAAATGGCAAACCATAGAAGTGTAGAAATAAATGCTGATTTGGTTAAGGAGAGGTCAAAATGCAGTTTTGATCTCGAAGAACTCACAAACTTAATTGATGGAGGAAAGAAGAAGACAAAGCAACGGAGGCAGATGGGTAAGTTAGATTTTTGTAAAATGAATATCTGAAGTTATTTATGAAAAAGTCGAACTGCCTAGGCGGGAATCGAACCCACGGCTCATCACGCTAATAACTATGAAATTATCTGCATCTCTACGTAGTGATATATCTTCGTGCTCATTACACTAACATTTGCCCTCAGCGGAGTTAGCTGAAAACAATGCGGTCTTCTATTTCGTTCGTTTGTACATTCATTTCAACCAATGACGTCCACTGCTGGACAAAGGCCTCCCCCAAGGATTTCCACAACAAACGACCGGTCGAACGCCGCCTGCATCCAGGCACCTCTCGCAACTTTTACCAGATCGTCGGTCCACCTAGTGGGGGGCCTGCACTTGGTGGTCTTTTATTTATAATTCATTTATTCCTCCTCATTCCATCTACAAACATCATAATATTAAGTCGTTCTGTCACAATTATCTTTATTATTTTGTTTTAAAAAATATTTCCGATGTCTGACAACAGAGGATTACGCGTTGAACTCCGGCGCATCCATCGACCCGGTTCCTGAGGAATGCCTGAGCATCCAGGAGCGCTACGAAAATGCGGTCAGAAAGTCCTGCGTCTACAGCGCCTTGGTTAGGGAAAGCCTGGTCAACATCACGGGACTGGAAGACCTGGGGTGAGTCAGTCATGGACGTATGTTCCTTTCAATATGTATCACATCCAATCAAACCAAAAAGATTTTATTCAATTTTGACCACTGCAGGTGGCACTTATGAACGTCAAATACAGTAAAAAAAGGTAGTCCTTAATTAAGGGGCACTTTACATGTCTCCTTACATTTTGGGTCAGGTCTCACTTAGTGTAAGTTAATGGAGATTGCTGAAACATTATCTCAGGGGTATTCTAATACTAGAATGAACAATTCCAGTCAGTACAAGAAGCATGTGAAAGCTGCTTTTTAAAGATTTTATAAAGCCTGAATATAAACTGAAAAGCCAATAAATAATTATTGGTGGTTAAAAAGATAAGGTACACCACTGCGTAACTCATACCGTTTTACGTGGAGATGGCGAATGTCTTGACTTGAACCTACTTGGCACATAACAAAGATGCAATTCAAACATAAAAAAGAGAAATGTTGATCAAGCCTAAATAAATTTTTCACTTTTACTTCCTAGTTTGTCCTCACCAGTTCTTCAGCGTACATCGGATGCATTCTTCAAAGAGATCTCACCGTTTTTGCTCCATTTCGGAATGTTCGTGCCCACCATCATCGGGCAATGCACTCCTGAACAGCAGGCCAAGTGGCTGCCCCTTGCTATGGACTTGCAAATTATCGGGACCTACGCTCAGGTATATTTATTTATATTTAAGCTTACAAAGTGTGAGTGGCGACCACGGGCTGGAAGATGTAGCGTGGGCAGGCCTCCTACTAGGTGGACCGACGATCTGGTAAAGGTCGCGGGAAAAGCCTGGATGCGGGCAACGCAGGACCGTTCATTGTGGAAAACCTTGGGGGAGGCCTTTGTCCAGCAGTGGACGTCATTTGGCTGAAACGAAGCTTACAAAACGAAAGTCTAATGATGATTTAGGGACTCGTAGTTTCAAGAAGCATAAAGTCAAGCATAACCTACAGTGACTGGTTGAATTTCAATATTTGAATCGATCACAGGTTTTCTATTTTTTATTTCATAAGAAGAAAGACATCCAGTTGGTTGGTATATACTCGTACGTACCTATCTGTCTGGTTCATTTGTTTAGTTATGGTAATCCGCCTATTTGTTGTATTTCTGTTAGTATTCATATTAAAGTAAAAAGTGAAAGGTGAATAGCTGATTGTATGGAACATAGAAAGATCCCTTTGAAGATACTTATATAGATAAAACATTCCACGGACCGGCAAACTTATCGCGAACGGATAGTAGTGGCCTCCCAAGTAGCATTTTACTCCATTTAAGAGTTCACTAGTCGTTCACATGTACTCCACAAGCTGTGTATGTCAGCTGTATACGAGCTGTATAGCTTGCTATAATGCTTTTATAGAACCAGTTTGGGCACAAATTAGACAGCCTTAAGTTCACTATGGCTGTACATTAGCAGTATAATAGCATTATAATAGCAGTTTAAGTAGTAACTTCGGACTTAAGGCTGACTTACGGCACTATATGGGACGCAGTGTGAACCATACAACGTACGTGAGGACAATAAAGAGTAACAAGTGGCTAAATGCACAGCTTTCAAAGTTATAAAGTCCGACAAAAGTACTCCAATGCTACATAAAGTTCACGTGTGTCCTAAATTATTTCCACATTTTAATATTAGTTTGGTATTTGTACGTGAGTGCCAAGAGGAAACAACTCGGGCGGATAATATAATCATTTATGCAAATAATAACACGGGTTTTAAATACTTAATAATGTTAATGCCATTGGGAATGCAACTTTATCGTGAAATGTATACATATTTACAGCTAAAATATTTACGCGCCTCTGTAAAAACGCGATATTCATTTTAAAATATTTAAAACTGGCTGAGAGGAAATCTACAATTTTCAGTTTTTGATATTGTATTGGCATTATAATTATACTACGGTAATTAATTATAACATGAAACCAAAACTCAATCGCTCTATCTGCGAATTTTGTGATAAATCTGCATTAATTTTGGAGATTTATTTGGTAAATATTTTAGGTTATGTAGAACAAAATGGTGGAAATGAAATACGGCTATGTGAACTGTTATAACTCCAATTTAATGCGGTGAGCGTATATTAGGTTCACATGTGTTCTGTTAGAATGCTGTTATCTATATTAAGTTCCACATTTGTACCACTACAGCGCTAATGTCTATAAATTTATTCTAATGTGAACTTATGTACAGCTTTAAGATGTACCTAGTTCAGGTCAATTGTGTATCTTTAATTCTTTCAAATACTGAAATTTTAGAGATCCGCAATAAAAATTATTAATGTCCGTTAAATCGCCTAGCCCAGGTACTAATAGTCAAGTATGAATACCTAAAGCATCAGACGGTAGTGTTCCCGGTTTAAATTCGTTTATTATGCCTGACAATTTATTCAAAGCGGAATGAGGAATACGATTTTCAATAGCCCATGTTCTTATTTTTTTGCTAAAGGTTAAATAATTGTCTAAATCAAAATTGTATTCACTATCACTAGAACTGCAATCATCACACTCTGATATCTGTATATTTTGAAGGGAACTTTCAGGTTCAGGCATAATATTTTCCTCTGCATCATGTACAGAACCACCATAAATACAACTAAAAACAGGCTTGGGGAAAAGTGTAATAGAATATCACATTCACATTCATGTTCAGCTTAAAGCAAATAAGAGTAGTACTTGTGGACAAATAAACTGCTATTGATGTTAATGGACAACACATATAGTCCTTTTAACAGCCTACAGTGCACATGCGAACCATTGAAACACTTTTGTACAGATAGTAAAAAAGGTTATTTTAATTATCACAAACAAGTCCTACTACAGCTACTAGCTGTATAACAGTCTAAAACAAGTAAACATAACAGCCTTTGGCTTTATGAATGACCACGTGTGTTCTATTAAAATGCTAGCTCTATAACATCGTACAAGTAGGCCGTTAAACAGCGATTGCCGTATCTCTACCCTCCTATAATGCTCTTAGTCAGACGGCTGACTAAAGGATAGTTGTTAGAGTATTATAACACCAACAATCGTATAAAAGTATAACTCTACACTAGTCTACACTCCTATAAGTCCCTTAGACAGGTATAGGTGTAATTAATTGCAATAATACAGCTTATACATCACGAGTGAACTGTACTTATGCTTTAAGTACACATTGGAACTAAATGTGAACTCTTAAATGGAGTAAAATGCTACTTGGGCTGAGATGGTGGGAGCCTGATAGGCATCAGACTCACACAAGAATGAACATCAAACTATGTACGATTTTTGTGTGAGTAAAATAAAGATTGTATTTATTTATTATAATTGATTTTTCAACAGACACAAGTCAATTATACAAAACTCTGAATACCTAACATGGTTCAACAATGTCACGGACATTGGCAAATCTATTGTTTAACATATTAATATGTAGAGTAAAAACGGGCGCACAAAAATTTGCTTAGGAGTTATTGGGGGAGGCCTATGTACAGCAGTGGACGCCCTGTGGCTGAAATGATGATGATGATGATGATGAACATTTTATCTATATACAGACAGAATTAGGACACGGCACGTTCATCAGAGGTTTGGAAACGACAGCTACATACGACCCAAGTACAGAGGAATTTGTTCTCAGCACTCCAAAATTATCTTCATACAAATGGTGGGCCGGCGGGTGTAAGTACAATTTATGAATACCTATATATTAGGGTGGTCCTTATTCCTATGAAAAAATTTTTTTTTCTTATATTTTGCGGGGCACCACGTAATTTGAATATATACCATATGAAAGTCTTTCATTATTTTTTTTTTAATTTTTAAAAGACATTTAGGGGTCGCTACCAAGGTTTGAATTTTAAGTAAAAACAAAATCTGTATTTGTTAGATTCATTTATTTTTAAAGCCAAAGCCAAATAAAAATATTACAAAATTATTGTTGTTGCTATGAATTAAGATATTATGTACAATGCACATATTTGAATCAATTATTTTTAAGATATAAGAGTTTACTCTTGTTAGTATCTCGACGCGTCGGTACCATGGTCGGTACAGAAGAGGGGTTGAGGGGAGAAGGGGACAAGAAGCGATTGTCTATTCTATCTATCCGATGTTCATTTGCACATAAAATGTGATATAAACACTTAAATAAAACATTTATGAAACCATGATTTAAGATCTTCAAAGCTTTTTGTAAATATTTTGACAGCTGGTAGCGACCTCTAAATCTTAACCAAAAAAAAACAAAGAAAGCTAATTTCATATTTAGAGGTATACAATCGAATGAGAAAGTGCCCCGGGGATAATTCAAAAGTCGAAAAATAAGGACCACCCTACTATATATATCTATAAAAGCGAAAGGTCACTGATTGACTGACTGACTCACTCACTCATCACGAAATCTCAGAAACTACAAGTGCTAGTCTCAAATTTTGCATGGGAGTTCTTTTCAGAACGTAGGTGCTCACTAAGAACGGATTATACGAAACCCCACCCCTAAGGGGGTAAAACGAGATCCACGCGTACGAAGTCGCGGGCGGCCGCTAGTTTATTTATAGTCTCTTGCGTTTTCGTATTTATTTGCAGCTATTTCTAAAACGGTTTTCGTTGCCTAAAGACAATTTTAAATATTTTTCAGTGGGTAAAACTGCCAGTCACTGCATAGTGTTAGCCCAACTTTACACTAAGGGCGAGTGCCATGGGCCCCATGCTTTCATAGTCCAGATCAGGGACAAGGAGACTCACATGCCTTTACCTGGGATAAAAGTGGGGGAGATCGGCCCTAAGTTAGGGTTCAACACTGCAGACAATGGATATCTTGGATTTGACAACTTTCGGATACCGAGGGACAATTTGATGATGAAAAATGCTCAGGTTACCAAGGTAAGGCTGCGTTTTTATTTATTTCACCTTAATAGTTATATCTAATATTAAAAGAGATCGATTTAACGTCAGACCAAATTAACCTGTACTCACAAAATAGAGTAAGTACATGGTAGGTACTAAGAATATATTTCTTTTCATGTAAAACATTCCAACCCCATCACTGCTTCGGGACAGAAGGTCCATTGCTGAGAAGAAGCAGAGCAGTCACTGTTTTTTTTGCTTTGTTGTCATTTTTTAAAATTCGATAGTTTTTTTATAAGTCAGTTGTTCTTTTTGTTTTTGCCAGGATGGTACGTATGTGAAGGTGGCTCGTCACGGCAAACTGACGTACGGCACCATGGTGTTTGTAAGAGTGATGCTGGTGAGCGATATGGCGTACTACCTCGCTAAAGCCGTCACCATAGCAGTTCGGTACTCGGCGGTGCGGCGGCAGTCACAGCCGAAGCCAGAGTGAGTTAAAAGTTATGATAGATTTCACAAGTTCCGGACATTCCAATGTTGTAGATGAGTCTCAGGTAGGGGTCCACACCCAATACGGATCTCTAACTCTTCTATGTGACATCATCATCATCATCATCACCATTTTAGCCATAGGACGTCCACTGCAGAACATAGGTCTCCCCCAATGATTTCGATGTTCGATGATTGTTTAGGTTTCGGTTTGTTGAGCCCCAGTTCAGAAATTTTAGATCTTACCTCTTATCGCTTCTTACAAGTAAAGGAATTTGCAATTATCTTCTTTACATTATCTCCTTTTCACGGTCAACGATATACGGCCTAATTACGGTCATTAAATTATATAAGTTATTAATATCTTAAAACCGATAAGTATGTTTATTATTATCATGTCGTCTATGTATTATCATCTTTCGCAGCCAGCCCGAGGCTCAGGTCTTGGACTATCTCACGCAGCAGCACAAGCTGTTCATCTGCATCTCCTCGTCGCACGCTATGAGACTAACCAGCACTTGGCTATGGAAAACGTTCACGGCTGTTCTAGCCGACATGCGTGAAGGAAACACTGATACTTTGCCTGAAGTAAGTAAGTCATTGTAATTTTATCGATTGTCATTCTCCAATGTAGATTGTGCTGAAACTTGTATAGAGGTTACCACCAGCCCTCCACTAATAGCGCTCCACCACCACCACTGCAAGATGGCTGGAAATTATTAATTATTACAGTTATGGTGACAGCTGAATAAATTATGGTCATCGTGAACTATATCCTGTATGATTGTGCATCTTTTCTTGCAGCTTCATGCACTTTCCAGCTGTCTGAAGGCACTGAGCACCTCAGACACAGCTGCCCTCATAGAGCAGTGCCGGTTCGCGTGCGGTGGGCACGGCTACATGTACTCCTCAAACCTGCCAGCTCTTTATAGTTTCGCTGCTGCCACGAGAACCTACGAAGGAGATTATACTGTGCTGCTGCTGCAGACTGCCAGGTTTGCATAGTTTCTTGATGTCAGATACAAGGTTTAGAGACAATTAAAAATGTAACGAAGTTCAACCCGGTCAAGTTGTAAAAAATTAAATTTAGAATCATAGGCTCCAATTAGTGTGTGAAATAGCAAATATAGAAGGCTAATCATAGCAGAAACGTAACTTCATGTTGAATTAAATTAAACATATTTTTTTCAGGTTCCTAGTGAAATCATGGGAGCAGATGGAGGAAGGGAAGCCTTTAACCCCCACTCTAGCGTACTTGATTCAGAGTCGAGACGGCAACCAAGCGAAATGGGATGACAGTCCTGAAGGCATCATCAGAGCTTTCCATGCTATCGCCGCAGGGTATGTTAATAATGTATTTATTCATCCAGGGTAGGGGGCATTGAATGTTGTCATTGACTTTATACTATCCTCTAGCTAAATAGCTAAGTTAGTGAAATAGAAAGAGTGGATATTTTACTTGACTGTTTTCTATTAGTAAATTACCCCATGTGGGATAAATAGGGGGTAAAAATAGTCTAATCACAGGGTAGGGGACTTGGAAGGCTGTCATTGGCTTTAGCTATCCACTAGCTATGTAACTATAGTTAGCGAAATAGAAGGAGAAGAGATTATACTCGACTGTTTTCTAAATTACCCCTGTTGGATGAATAGGAGCAAAGATAGTCTAGTTGCAAATATGTTTGTAAATTGCTCCCCGTGAGAGAGATTAAGGGCTGATTTTTCAATGATGAGTTAATTATTAACTGAAGAATAAACTTGTCATTTTGACATAGATATTTCCCATACTGAAACTATCAATATACTAAACTTATTCTTCAGATAAAAGTTATCCAACGATTGAAAAATCAGCCCTAGAAATATAAATAAAAGTTTCGTAAAGTTAAATAAATACATATTTGTTTTTGCAATTTCAGAAGGATCACTTCTTGCGTGAACAGCATTAGGAAACATGTAAGAAATGGCATGGACTATGAAGACGCTTGGCAACTGACGACAGTGCAGCTCGTTGGGGCTGCAGAGGTGAATATTTGCACCATCTCTTTTACTACTGAAAATTGAGGTTCAAATAACTGATCTTTGGAACTATAACACAAAAACTTGTACACTCCTTGCAATCAACTACATACGCGCCTTCACATATTGATAGATCGTCGTCTGCCTTCTTACGCCCGTATTCACAAACGATGCTTGCTTAAGTGAAGCAGCAAATCGAACGCACAGCGTTGAATAGAGCTTTGTGATTGGTTCGTTTGTCACCCTGTGTGTCCACGCGCACTGTGAGTGATGTACCAAATGCACATAAGTAATCAAACAAAATAAGTTTTTGCTGCACTGTTTTGTTTTGTTCGTATCAAAAATTAAAATAAAATAACACAAAACATTTAAAAGCGATGTCTTTTTTTGTTCGTCTTTTTTATGTTTCCTATTTTATTCAAGGCTTAAGGATATTGGTTATGACCGAAGTAAATTTTCATTAACACTACATTGACTTTCAACTTAATATTGTCGTTAAAGCCAGAAACAATAGCAAACTGCTTTAAATATTCAAGCAGTCGAATTGTATGGTAATTCGCGGCATCGCAAATTCGATTATTCAACTTAACTAATATCTTTGTCTTAAAAAACGGGACAATCCTTGAAATGGTAGCTTATTAATATTAAATTTCAGTGGAATTAATAGAGTTTATTTTATATTTAAAGTAAGTCCAATTAAAGTACGACGACGAGTAAGAGCGTATAACAAAGTCTTATTTGACTTTGATGTTTACTTTTTATTTTAGGCTCACTGCCGCGCTGTCATATGCCGAGTGTACCGAGATGAAACTATCAAGATGACAGCCGAGTGCAGTCCGGGAGTCAAAACAGTCTTGGACCAGCTGTCGATGCTGTACCTGCTCTACTGGTCTTTGGAGAAGACCGGGGACTTGCTCAGAGTAAGTTTAATGCGGTTGTTTTTAGTGTGTCCCACAAGGTGGACAGATAACCTTATAGAGGTTGCAGAAAGGCGCTGGTTGTAGGCCAAATTTCAAATCTGGAAAACATTGCAGAGGGCCTATGGTTATCAGTGGACGTCCTGAGACTGAAATGATGATGATGGTAAAGTTTAATACGAATAATCCGGCCGATCAATCTTGTGCGTCACTGGTTGTCCTTGAGACGTTCGTAACGCACTGAAAAGATCTTTAGGCCTATAAATTGTAGTAACAGTGCAATATCAGCTGATGAATTATAATATCTTAATCCCTTAATTGCAGTTCTCATCGCTATCGGAGAAGGATATTGTGAGCTTGCAGGAGCGATACGAAGCGTTGCTGCTCAAGATAAGGCCCAACGCGGTCAGCTTGGTCGATGCGTTTGATTTTAGGGACGAAGTAAGTGCATACTTCTGGCTTCGAAGAGTTTCAGGCAAATGACATCGAGCGCTGGACAAAAGGCGTCCCTCAAGGATTTGCACTACGCCCGGTTCGGCGCTGACCCCACACATACTCGTACATAGGTTTTGTAAACTATTATGAAACTCTCCTTGTAAGAGAAAAAAAACAAAATAATCGTGATAGTGATTGCAGCTATTAGCTGTTGGTTATCAGATACATATACGGTGAGCCTACACAGTGGCGGCGTAGCATGGGTAGGCACCCGGGGCGATCACCCCCACCCCCGTCACAAGTCCTAAGGCACCCCCAGGTAACCCCCAGGTATTACCTACCGATTCGAAGATGGAAAGACAATCGCCCCCCCGTAGAACGCAGATGTGCCTGATGCTTGGCACCCGGGGCGAAACTTTCGCGTCCGTCTTTTCTGACGTTTCTAGAGTGACATTGACATTGCTTACAACTGACATGTAATGCAATAAATGATTTGATTTGATTTGATTTGATTTGACAGCAGCTAACGATACTTTTTACCATTTAGATTTTTGACAATTAACAGATGTAATCTTGATACTGTAGTAATGTTGTCCTGCTCTGTTTTTCAACCTTCCTTTTCTCTCATCAGGTACTATCCTCAACCCTGGGTTCCTACGACGGGCGCGTGTACGAGAGGCTGATGGAAGAGGCTCTCAAAACCCCTCTCAATAAGGAACCAGTCAACCAATCCTTTCACAAATATATGAAACCTATGCTGCAGGGAAAGCTGTAATTAATTAAGATAAAGAAATTTAATTGATAGCGTTATATTTAGTACAATTTGATCGAGCTAACTGCGCAATTCGCTGGAATTCGACTTTTCCTCGCACACCTCGCTGCGTTCACCCTGTCCGTACCAAAGCGTCGTTGTGACGTCACGGCTGCTAGGTGCGCAGTTAACTCGATCGGGTTGTAAAAAAATAAAAACAATACTTTTCCCAGACGCAATCCATCTAATTTAATTCGTTCAGAAAAAAATAGAAACGTATTATGTCAAGGGAAAGGGGGGATATGATATCCCTTCATCACTCATTTATCATTAAATGAGTGTTTCTAAATACTTAAAATATAATTTACTTGACACTGGCTAAAACCGCACGAAGCCATAATCTAGACAAAAAAAAGTTAGTAGAGGGCCTACCCTCATTTATATTTTTAACTTTAACTAATTATTTTTTTCCATGACATGAGTTTGACATAAAAAATTTAGTGGAGACAAAAGGTTAGATATAAATAATCCGCGGGATAGTAAAAAAAAAAATTGATATTAATATTTAAAAACAAATAATATCTAGTGAATTCTAGTGGGTGTAAGTGCTTTAATTTTAGATCGAAACAAACAAATATTATAATAACTAGCGGCCGCCCGCGACTTCGTACGCGTGGATCCCGTTTTACCCCCTTCATCTATCTTACGCGGTTTAGATTTTTTCATACAAATGTTTTTTCCCGCTAACTCCCGTTGCCGTTGGAATTTCGCAATAGCCTGTTGTAACTAAGCTTTAAGTATACTAAGGGACTTGCATGCCAAATTTCAAGCGTCTAACTTAAGCGGTTTAGATTTTTCATACAAAAGGATTTTCCCGGTAATTCCTGTTTCTGTGGGAATTTCGGGAATTCCTTTCTTAGTGCACCTCTACGGTACCTAAGCTACGTCCCTTATAAATTTCAAGTGCCTACGTTTAGCCGTTTAGGCTGTGCGTGGCCTATGTCAGTGAGTCAGTCATACAAAAGGAATTTCCCGCTAATTCCAGTTCCCGTGGGAATTTTGCAATATCCTGTTGTAACTAAGCTTTAAGTTTACTAAGGTACCTGCATGCCAAATTTTAAGCGTCTAACTTACGCGGTTTAGATTTTTTCATACAAATGTTTTTTCCCGCTAACTCCCGTTCCCGTGAGAATTTTGCAATATCCTGTTGTAACTAAGCTTTAAATTTACTAAGGTACCTGCATGCCAAATTTCAAGCGTCTAACTTAAGCGGTTTAGATTTTTCATACAAAAGGATTTTCCCGCTAATGCCCGTTCCCGTGGGAATTCCTAAGTATCCTATAACCTGCCCAGGAGTATGAAGAATAATTGTACCAAGTTTCGTTAAAATCCGTCGAGTAGTTTTTGTTTCTATAAGGAACATACAGACAGACAGACAGACAGACAGACAGACAGACAGACAGACAGACAGACAGACAAAAATTTTACTGATTGCATTTTTGGCATCAGTATCGATCACTAATCACCCCCTGATAGTTATTTTGAAAATATATTTCATGTACAGAATTGACCTCTCTACAGATTTATTATAAGTATAGATGTAAGTAAATTATATTAATTAAATTATGTTTTTGCAATAACCATTAAATTGGAACTGAAATTATTTTTTTGTTTCCTTTTATATTTTCATGATTATTTTACAATCACTTGTGTTACTAATAACTTTGTCACTCACACACTTGTGTATGTAAATGTCAAAGAAAATACATAGGAGACGCAAAATAATTTTACTACTAACCAATCTTCAGGCTAAAGACATGCATACCTTTGATTATATTAAAACTTTATTTATACATGTCATATTATACACATGTTAGTCAAGTTAGGTTTTTTAAGCACGTAATTTTGTTTAATATGCTAACTTTATGTCACGAGTACCTACCAAAGTAAAAAAAAAGTTAATTAATGATTTCAAAGGTCTCTCAGAAGTTGTTGATCGCCTAAAATCTTTGCTAACGGTGTTTTTTTGCAAGTTTTTATTATTTAGCCTTCCGGCGTAGTCCAGTTTAATAAATTAGAGGTTATTTAGTGGGCCGATAAAAGATGTCTTTCTTTACACATTTATTAAGTTTTTTGAACCAATTTTATTATGCATATTCGATCGGTTGCTATGACATGCGACAGCAATTGACAGACTAAGGCTGGATCCACACACAAGGAGAAATCTCGTTAAAAACGACAAATCTAAGGCTGTGATGCACCAACTTACTTTGACCGTAACTTTAATAATAAGTACAGTATACGGTGAGTTTGTATGGAGTTTGATATATTTTTGACGTTTGTTAAAGTCAAAATAAGATAGTGCAACTCAGCCTAATAAAGTTTTAAAAGTTATTTACTTACTACAAACCATGGCCTTCTGTATGGAGAAACCATAATTTATCAAGATAGATTAAATTCATAATAATCATTTGTCCTATTCCAAATATCGCAAAAATCATAGTTCATGATACATAGATTACATAGTTCAGCTATAGGAAAAAATATACCTACTTATGTTTAACTTGCAGACTCGCTTTTTTGATCGCGGGAGGCGCACAGATCTACAGGTATGTTTTTACTGTGATGAGCTATCAACTTGTAAACTTATTTTTGCAACATGATTTCGGTTCGCATGGCAACTTAAGAATTATTCGATTGAGGAGATAAATAATAAGTAGGTTATAATAATAAGTAGAGCACAGAATAATAATAAGTAGGATTGGTACGAGTAAGAAGTACTTAATACGAATCGATGGAAACAGTTTGTTAAAATTAATAATTTCGACAGTAAATTCAATTAAATTCCTCGTAATAAAACCTCTTGGCAGACGATTAGTTCAAAACTTCAAGGCTTAATGATCGAAATAGATTTCCATATTTTATTAGCGACTAATGAGCATCTGTTAAATTATTCAGACCGAATTATCATTAGTCATAGTTTTTAAATTTTAATTTGCATAAAATCTAGCTTTAGACGAAAACCATAAAGCGTTTACTGTAACCAAACTGTCTGCTGGAAATAAGTAACTACCTAAGCAAGTCTTCGTTTATAATTATGATCTTAATACACGAATTAGTTTGTCAAAAAATATGCAATTTATATATCCTAAAGCCATAAATTAAACGTGTACATGTTTTTGAACACCAGTATATTAAGGAAATGGTGTTTATATAATTAACTGTTAAATTGTATTCATTTGCATAATGAATGACTCGTTAAATGAGACACAAATCATAATATCCTCGGCACCAAAACACGGGTGGTATAATAAATAGGAAAGTAGAGATAAAATATCATTTGAATATATTAGCATAATATTTTGTCCACTGAATATTGTTTTCAATATGCTGTTGAAACTTTGATATATTAGGTACTTATAAAAACGTTTGTCATAACTGTTTTATTGAAAGAAGTTTGTTTTGCAATGCAAGTATTTTTTATAGAATTAAACAATTCCATAAGCTAATAATATTTTCGATTATAATTGTATTAATTTATTAATCTTATTACAATAAAGAATAATGAGGATTCAAAGTATTCAAACGACAAACTCACGTACCTACACATTACATGAAAATGGGACACTGGGATGTTAAACACCGTCTATGACAGTGTTCGATTTAATTTAATTTTAGTAAAGAGGGACTCTTTTAATGTAATATTGACATTTCACTATTATGTGATTTATAAAAATTGGTTTCCATCGTAAAATCACAGTTTAATCCATAACTCCTAATAGTTTAGGAAGCTTTCAGTCTGTGCTTTCTAAGCTCAGCAGAGAGCGATGACGGATGACTTTCGTCGTGAAAGCCTATACAGGTTTTTAGTTCGTTTGTTATGAAAATAATTATTCTGTGAAGATTCCCCTTAATTATATCTTGTCACTCCAACAGATCTAAATTTGGTGTTGGCAGTTGAAGTAACTACGAGGGTTCAGAGTTTCCTCTCAAAAAATGTTGCTCTACACTCTACAGACAAAAATATTATCATCAAACTTAAAATATACCAAACATTTCCTCCATGTTTGAAGTCGGCCAAATAACATGTTTATAATACTTATAAACTAATCGTCAGGCGTTAATTTCTTAATTTCGCACTTCCTGATCTAGCACCATTTTGTTAGTTAGGCCCATTGACCTACTAAACTAATCGCAAGACTTCATTCAACAATCGAAAATCGATCAACAAAAACATACCTACTTATCTGCCTAGTAAAACAATGACCTCACTATGGGCACACATTAGATAGTCACAGAAGACGATCGCCTGCAGTAGTAGGTACCTACTTCATTTTGAACGCACACGGACGCGTGTTTCAAGCGGGCGGCATTTTTTTTTCATTTATTTAACAACTAAAAAAGACAGTTACTTGGGGACAATTACATTTAGATAGCTTTGAGAAACTCTAGATTTGAGCTCGCAATCACTAGTTTAGACTGGTTCGCGACACTTCGTGCGATATAACCGGGACTATTCCCACCTCTCGTTCCCACCGCTGCAACTCCTGTGTAGCCAGGATCTCTACAGATTTGCCTTAAAAAACTCAACCAATGAAAGTCTCTTTTTATTAGAAGCTGACTTCGTGCGATATACTTAGGAAATATCGAGTCTATGTGTGCGTTGCCCGAGCGCACTTTGTATGTGGATTGTCTTCTGCTCCTAATTATTGTATGGTAGGGGTCCTTATACTGTTACGGGTCAGCATCGGTCGGAACTAATGGATCTATCCGATTCGAACGTGCCAATCGATCGATATCGATAAACGGACCGGTTCTCTAGATACGATCGATATAAATAAAAGTAATGTCGGTCGTTTGTTTTTAATGCCAAATCGAGAACAATGAGAGCGCGCCAAAAATATAGTTGAACTCATTATCAGTTGGATTGTGTTTAGTTAAGCGCCAACTGGTAAAGCTTTAGAGAATGCTTTTTGGAATTATCCGAGCATAGATTACTTATTTAAAGACAATGAGTTAATCTTGTTAAACTTTTTACGTTAGTTTTTTGCACGTTTTGATAAATCTCGTCACAAAAATGAATGTGTAATACCTTATAACTCTAGCGAATTGATTTTTTTCTTTGCTGTATGGTTTGTTGATTAATTAGCATAACTGGTCCAAGTAATATACCCTCGTGAATCGTCGAGTGCTCGTATTTGATGTTCTAATACTGAACTCATTATAAAAGTTACATTAATAGGTCTTTTGCCCGACTTCTCGTATGAATCGGTTTACTTATTTGATTAAGTTTTTCATTGCTGTCACCGGGTAAGTGGATAAATAATGTGTGTGTGAAGTTAAGAATACGAATGAATAAAAGAGGTACATAAAATTTAAATCGTTTTATTAATCTCCATAATTAATCGTAAGTTAAATGAGCAATAAATTATAAATGCAGACTTCAAATTAAATGCAATAAATAAATAAATTAAGTCAGACTTTTGCAAATATACCAAGACAAGTTTTTGGTTAGTCCAGTAGTCGTCTTGATATGATTGCTTTTGCTTATTCTAAATGGATTTAAGCCTGAGCGTTGGCGTGGGCGGTGCCAAAGCCAGAGGTGTTGGCGTTCGAGTTGACTACCCTGTAGCCGGCGCTCAGACCTTGGGTATTGGCAGAGGACGAAGCCTTGCCGAACCCAGAGCTCTGGGCATCAGCGGAGGTCTTGGACGCACCGTAGTAATCACCGTGATGCTTGGCCAAACCCACGCCGGCGCCGAGGTTGGCCGCGGAAGACGCGATGCCAGAGCCATGGGTGTTGGCGGTCGTCTTGGCGGATCCATAACCAGCGTTGATGTTAGCGTCGGCGTTGGCGGTTCCGAAGCTTGAGCCGTGAGTGTTGGCGGTAGTCTTGGCGGAACCGTAGTTGGATCCATGGATGTTAGCAGCGGAGTTGGCGGACCCGTATCCACCGTTGGTGTTGGCGTTGGCATTAGCGGAACCGAACTCAGCACCGTGGACGTTGGCGTTGGACTGAGCAATACCGGCTCCCTGAGTCTCAGCGTTGGACTTGGCGGCTCCGTAACCGGACTGTGTGTTAGCCTGAGCCTTGGCGGAACCGGAAGGAGCGTCGTAAGCGGTGCCGAAGTGCCAGTGGATGTGCTTCTGGTTGGTGGTCTTGGCGGAGGAGATAGCGTTGCCGTATTCGCCGTTCACGTTGGCGTTAGCGTTAGCGGAGCCGTAGTTGGAAGGCTGGTAGCCGTGAACCTTGGCAGAAGCGATGGCAGATTCCTGAGCACCGGTGTAGGTAGGCTGGTAGCCGTGAACCTTGGCGGAGGCGATGGCGGAATCCTGAGAGCCGGTGTTGGCGGTGGATGAAGCAGAGCCGTAGCCGCCGTTCATCTGAGTTTCGGCGGTGGAGCGGGTGGCACCAGAGTTGCCTTCGGCTTTGGAGGAGGCGGAGCCATATCCGGCGCCGTTGGTGCGGGCGGCGGTCACAGCTGAGCCATAGCCGTTGTTAGCGTTTGAAGCAGCGGTTCCAAATCCAGAACCAAAGGTTTTGGCGTTGGTTGAGGTGATTCCGTAGCTGCCGACTCCTCTTTGGGTTTGGGCGGAGGACTGGGCGGTGCCGGCGCCGTTCGATTTGGCGGAAGAAATGGACGACTCTGAGTCACCGTTCATGATAGCGGAGGACTGAGCTTCGACGGCAGGGATGCTGTAGCTGATTTCAGCGGGCACTTCGAAGTTTTGGTGGTACGAGATGACAGTGGCGGGCGCTGGGAGAGGGTAGTAGGCGCCGTTCTGGGCCTCGGCGATTGCTTTGGCTCCGCCGTAGACGGGAGCTTCGGGAGCGTCGTAGACTTCGGCTTGAGCGACGGCCTGGCCGGGGTAGACCTCGCCAAACCCGTCGTTGCGGGCAAGCTGGGCGCCGACGGAGCCGCTGCCAAAGGCCTGGGCGTTGCCGCCGTTGACCGAGGCAGAGCCGGACGCCTGGCTCACGCCGCCATAGTTGCGGCTGTAGCCTTGGCCGATGGAGAAGCCTCGTCCATCACGGTACAGTACACCTGGTACAGAAACAAATAATTAATATTGTGGATAGGTATAACAATTATAAAAAAGTAATCAAATCGAGATCTCATTATTTTCAGCTAATTATTTGAAAGTATGAACTCTCAATCAATCAGAAGAATCAATTAATACAGAAAATTGATTTATCTCGCTTACCGTTTATAAGGACGGGGCTAGATTGGCACATGGCGAAAAGAGCCACCGCTACGACGAATTTGGCTGCCATGTTTGTTTGTTGTGTAATGTTCGGGAGGAGACAGCTGACTGGATGAAGTGAGAGCATTTCTCCGCGCTTTTATAACGCGCCCGCCGCCACCACTCCCGCGCACGACTGACCCGAAAGCCCTGAACTTCACCTACTAATATCGGATGTGACGGACAGTCGTAAATTAAGTGATAGATTACGGTAGATTAATGAAGGATCTGTCGCGAATTTTGCCAAATGGTTTCTGTCTATAACGTTCCGAATGTGGTCATCTAAATCATCGGGTGCGCTGACCTCTCTACGTGCAATCGATCGATATAATTTCAGTTTATCGCCCAATTTTGTCGTCTAAATGATGAAATTTTAACATGGTCGTCAATATGAAATACGGTTTCGTGGGAAATACCGGCTTTTGGCAGTATTCTACCTTTAATTAAATCGTAGATTATGTTTTTTCTTGTAAACGGACGATAAGGAGCTTTTATGAATGTCGCTTCCGAAATAAATAACTCTCTTGTGATGTACTTAAATGAAATTTAAGTGCTAATTTATACTGTAAGATGGTGATTAGGTACTTGATAGGACACCTACATAAATATTTGATTAGTTAAAATAACTAATTCCATAATATTAAGGATTAGATGATTCAAAATATGGAATTTCGTTATTAAAATGCATTTAATCTATTGATTTTGCTTAACGCGGTTGCGCTTTCAAGATTCGTATAATTTTTGGGTTATTAAAATTATTCGCAATATTTTTGAGATGAATCGCTCGAATCAAGAATATCATATTAGAAGAGATTATTCTCTTTAGGTCTATTTATGAGGTCGCGGGAAGAGCCTGGATGCGGGCAGTGCAGGACCGTTCATTGTGGAAAGCCTTGGAGGCGGCTTTTGTCCAGTTTTGGATGTCATTTGGCTGACGAACGAACGAACTATTCTCTGTTTTTCCATTTATTTAATAATATTTAAAATAAACTAAAATATTGATAACAATTGGTACAAATGCCACACGCATTATACATTATCCTCGATCGCATAAAATATTAGCTATTTTTTTGTAAGTCGAAATAACCTACTCAGTCTGCTGGTATCCGCCACTGATGAAAAGTGTTTTTTTAACTATAGATTTACCGTATGTGCTTTATTGCATGAGACTATTGGCTTATTAGGTCATTTAATTAATAGTTAATTACTATTGGTCCATGAATTTATTTTACTTTATTTATTTTAAGAATGCTTCTGTTTCTCTATGGACAAAGAATCCCTTTAAAATTCGCTTTGGTCTGACTTTTCTATTATTTTATGATAGATGTAGTTAAAAATCAACCATATTTTAAGTTGTAAGATATTAATATAAAGAACAATTTATTTTACCACATTAACTCGTACAACTAAAGTAGGTAACAGTGTAACTGTAAATGCTTCCAAGACAGATTAATTAACACCTTCTCACATCTTAGGTGTAATATTGCTCATTGATAATACAACCGTTTTTTGTTGTTATTTTGTGTTGACTTTATAGTATCTTTATCATTTCTAAAAGGATATAAATGGGTAAGTCTCATCATGAGTCATTCATTTTATTACTGATCAAAAATTTTAATGAAGGATCGCGAATCAAAAGTACATGACGTTGTTTTTTTCTTCCTCGAAGAAGTGTTCAGTTAGATAAGCATAGTTTATAGTTTTCTATTAGCATTTCTTGTATATCATCATCATCATTAGGCCATTTAATATCCACTACAGGAGCACGACTAGAGGCAAACGGAAAACATACTTGTTTAATGTAAATTCTTAAAATAGAGCAAAAGAAGGTAAGTTATTACGATCTTTTGCATATCATTATCGACTGCCTCAGGCGGGTCTTAAACCCACGTTTTTTCACTCACAGAGCGATTGATCTGATTACTGAGCTACGGAGACATACGCCCGTATTCACAAACATTACTATGAGGTCTCACAGTGCGCGTGGACGCACAGGTCCAACATCAATCACAGAACTCTATTCAACGCTGTGCGTTCGATTTGCTGCTTCACTTAAGCAAGCATCGTTTGTGAATACGGGCGATAGGTAAGTCGGCTTTGTCAAGTTTTGAATCTCATAGATTTACAACAAACTTCTTTTTCCAATGGCACTGACAACGGCAGCACACCAAGCTAAACGCTCTGTGATATTTTATGCAGTTCTAGTACTTAAGTGTGATTTTGTTATAAAAATGTAGTCTGATGTCCACTGTAGTACCTACAAACATAATTGGCCGCGTAGCTCATGGTACCCACCCTCTACAAACAAGGGTTACTTCCACTCTATATCGAATCGAATGATTAAAATATCGAAAAATCAATATAGAGGTTTAAATTAAATGTCATTATGATTAATGTAAACATAAATTCATATACACATTTTTTTATTTCCCACTAGGGTACCATAGCCAACAAGGAACCCTTACCTCTAGATCTTCCTATTATACTATGCAACGTAAGATCAACTTTCGATATTTTGATCGTTCGATCATTTGTAAATTCGATATTCTAAACGTTCGATATTTTATTCGTTAGATGAAACATGTTCGATATTTTGATTTTCGATCATTTGTATTTCGATATGGTGGAGGTAACCCGGTCTACGGAAGCAGTTGTTGGTTTTTAACCTGCATGGGTAAATGTTATAAATATGGGACTAGGATTATCTCTTTACAAGTGCTTATAAATCAGTTGGTTTATCTACATCAACTTTAACCTCTTTTCTCGCTCAAGAACATCTCACAGTTTGAAAGTCTCAATCAGATCCTGTTAGTGTTAACTCGTCTGCAAGATATGGTCGACTCACAACTATAAACCCAGTATAGCTCCATAATAAATCATGTCTATCGAAAGTATACAAGGTATCGCAAAAAACAATCAGCGATATAGTTTCTAGTTTGTTTATAACTTTCGCTGTCACCGGCGTGTCAGTTAAACTTTTTCTTTTGGTTAAGTCGCGCCGGATTTTGATATAAAACAATAGTATATTTTGTCTTGTTGACCGGCACTAACACTGGCTTAAGCTAGCACAGAGAAGTGAAGTAATAGACTGATCATTTATAAAGTGAAAAAAAAAATGTAAAAAAAAATACAATGGCTTATTACGATGTTAACTTATGACATTAAACAAAAAGTTTTATTTATTTTAGACTTAAAATTCCTTAAATATTTGATTTTATTACATTCATAGAATGAAATCCCATTAAACAAAGTGTATATAAAAAGCGTACTTACATAATAGTGTAAAAACAGATAAACAGGATTGTTAAAGCTCGATAGAAGAAGAGGACTTATCAATCCCATTAACCCCGTAACTAACATGTAAAAGAACTAACTAACACATAACTAGGTGATTGCTATAGTAATTAGCCTATACATAGTTATTGGTATATTGGATTGTTAATAAGTACCTAAGAGACAAAAATATTTGCTACAATTGGACTGCGTACAGTGCGTATTGCTCAGAAAAAATATTTGTCTTTTTTCCTCTCTTAATAACTTCCATTAGGCTTGTTTCTTTTTATTTTAGGCAAGTTGGTCAGTAACTATGTATTGGCTAATTACTATAGCGATCACCCTACATAAAAATAATTTAATGTCGAACTCTTGACTCTACGTAGAGCAGTGCTCTGTATATGCTAATATTCCGCGAAGGATCTGGACAGGCCAGTATCAAGTGACATCGATTAATTACACGCTAGTTTCGAGTAGAGATCGACGGTCAAATGGCACAGTACAGAGACGGTTAGCAGTAAGGTAACAATGACTTGAACTTACGCCCATATACACAAACATTACTATGAGGTTTCACAGTGCGCGACGCACAGGGTGACACACGAACCAATCACAGAGTGCTATTCAACGCTGCACGGTGATTCACCCATAGGCCAAAAATCCAAAAATGTCACTGTCTAATCCCGGTCCGATGATGTCCCTAGGTTATTAACTAGTAACCAAGCTATCAAAAACTATAAATAGTAATGTAATAAGGTCAAGGTTTCATTCACTTTTGTGCATCGGAAGTGAGGGCATCTCGAGTCTATTTACCGCGAGATGTGAGTCGTCGAAAGTTAATCACTATGTTATTGAGTGTTACTGTGCCAAATCAAATGTTTAAGTGTGTTGATCATATGGAGGTTCAAGAACAAGGCTATGTACTTTTATTATCAACCATTTTAATTTTTTATAATGCTCGGTTTATTTTTATTGAATTTTTTTAGAGACCCACTTTTTTCGAAAAAAAAAAAAAATCCTTAACTTCTATTTCAATTAGACTTATAACTTTTGAAATGCCTTGTAATGCCATGAATTATTATTTTTTAAATAGAAGAGACTGTCCCTAATATGGGCATATACGTTTCATCTGCCGCTTTTTGCCTCTTTTTAAGTTATAGGGTATCAAAGTATAATTTTCGGTAGTATTAAAAATAAAACATTTTTTAAATATTACTTTTATGTTGTTTTAGGTAAAATTTTCAAATGTTTCGTTTCGAGGATGATGATATAGACCTTTGGCACTCTATATAGGGTAGTTCAAAGGAAAAAATGATCATATTCTTAACAATTTGATCCAAACTTCGTGCCTAGCGGATAACGTTGAAAATATTGATTTAGAGACTATAAGTAGTAAAATTAACTATGTATGTGCACGAATTTAGTTTTTATGGGCAAAAGCAATTCGAACTAAATCTAAATTAATAGAAAAGCACTCTAATTGGTTGAATAATGTCGAAAACATTGATGTTGAGCTAACTGATTTTCGTTTACCTCATCACGATGACGCTAGGCGGTTTGTCTTGAACTCTGAAATTTCAACTGAAATTACTGTTATCAAGAAAAGTCTACTAGATCGGTGCTGGACCATACTTTAGTGTCTAAATTCAAGATATAACATTAATAAGACGAAATTCGAAGAGTTCGCTTTAGAGACAGCTCGACAATTAGTTGCCAAGTATCCTTGGTATAATATACCTGCTTCCGTTCACAAAGTACTAGTCCATGGTACTAATGTTATAGATCA